TCATTGATGTTTCTATCTCTCCCTCTCCATTCCTCTCTGAAATAAATTTAAAAAAAATATATATTTTTTTTAAAAAAGAGACATCTTAGCTCCAAGTATTGAGACAGTGGAAGGAAAATGGAGAAATTCATCCTTTGACAGGTGGGTAGTGTCTGGGGTGGGGAGTTTGTTGGGGTTTAGGGTTCTAGTAAACTTGGTTGGGGTTGAATGGTGTGCTTTCTACTATTTTTCAAGCTATAAGAGCTAAATACATTGCTTATTACTGGACTGATCAACAATGAAAATGTTTTATACTTTTGTTTTATGATTTATGAAAAGGTTCACATAGAAATTTAATCTTGAAAGTACTTATTGTTGGTTTCATTTTTATTTTAGATTGGGAATTAAATAAAAAAATTTTTCCTTGTTTTTCCTGATAATAGGTACTATATTAGAGAACTCTGTTCATCTTGGTATGGTATTTATAAAACAAGAACAAAATGTTATGAAGGTAACTCATGGTCCCTAACTTGAAAGGTAAAAGCAGACATGACGTGAAGCCCAGTGGTCTTCTTCTCTGGCTCAACTCACCCAGTTCCTCTACATGAATATATTTCTTTCTTTCTTTTTTTTTTTTTTAATACATTTTTATTGATTTTTTTACAGAGAGGAAGGGAGAGAGAGAGAGATAGAAACATCGATGAGAAAGAAACACCGATCATTGCCTCCTCCATGCCCCCTACTGGGGACCATGCCTACAACCAAGGTACATGCCTTTGAATGGAAATGAACCTGAGACCCTCTAGTCCATGGACTGATGCTCTAGCCACTGAGCAAAACACGCTAGGGCAGGATAAGGGTTTTATAGCAAAAGTACTGAAATTCTTTTTCAGGTGACAAAGGTGATTTAAAATCGATTGTGGTGATTGTACACTTTCAGTAGGGTGTACAATTATATCTCAGTAAAAGTGTTATGAAAAATCATTAAGAGAACTGAAAAACCACAAATTGCCCTAGCTGGTTTGGCCTGTGGACTGAAGGGTCCCGGGTTCGATTCCAGTTAAGGGCACATGCTTGGGTTGTGGGCTCGATCCCCAGAAGGGGGTGTGCAGGAGGCAGACGATCAGTGAGTCTCTTTCATCATTGATGTTGAGAGAATTCTGTCTCTCCTGCTTCCTTCCTCTCTCAAATCAATAAAACAAAAACTATAACTTTAACAAGTTTCATTCCTCTGGTAGTTTTCTTATTAAAATTGATCTTAGGATGGGCCTCAGGTTTCCCTTGGTGGAAATTGTTTATGCTCCTCATTTTCCACATTGCTTTCTCATTATATTTGGATATGGCTTTACACCATGATTTCTGGTATTATGTTGGGTTTATTATGATTATGCTTCTGAGAAATTCTATTATGTGTTAGAGTTAAAAGAATCTTCATTTTAATTATCTTTGAATAGACTTTCATCAATATTTAAAGCCAACATTGTTGTTTTGTAGCCTTATTCTTAATATTAATTGTTTTCAAGGAATAGGTTTGAAAATTATTTTTTTTTAAATTGAGGAAGATGATATTAATAGTGTTCATTTTTTTCACTCTCTGTATTTAGCGTAAAGGGTTTGTGTTAATATTATGTGCCCAGCTAGTATATGACAGTTTATTATCTCGTATAAAGTAGAGGTAGGAACTAGTAGTTAAATGTATAATGTAGTGTTAAAATGATCACTTTGCATTTGGTTTGAGAGTACTACTTCTGAAGTATGTTATTGAGGCATATTTTTTTAATATACTTTTATTGATTTTTTTACAGAGAAGAAGAGAGAGGGATAGAGAGTTAGAAGCATCAATGAGAGAGAAACATCCATCAACTGCCTCTTGCACACCCCCTACTTGGGATGTACCCACAACCAAGGTACATGCCCTTGACCAGAATCGAACCCAGGTCCTTTCAGTCCACATGACGCTCTATCAACTGAGCCAAACCGGTTTTGGCTATTGGGGCATATTAATAGTTTTAAGAAGTTTCTGTAATAATGAAATTTAACAAAGGACATTTCTTAAAACTTGCATCATTAATTTTTAAACCTTGGTTGCGGGCACATCCCCAGTGGGGGGTGTGCAAGAGGCAGCTGATTGATGTTTCTAACTCTCTATCCCTCTCTCTTCCTCTCTGTAAAAACTCAATAAAATATATATTTTTTAAAAATGAACATATTACATGTATAGTTTTTTTATTTTTTTATTTTTATTTTTTTTAAATGTATTTTTAAAGAATCATGAAAAGCAACATACCTTTCATCTCTCTTCCTAGAGGAAAATATTTCTGTTTTGGTTATTCATCAATTTTGAATAATACTAGTATATAAATTACAAATTTTAAAATAAACCTTATTGAAGTAACACATACATTCAGAAAAGTATACAAAGCACAACTGTTAAGGCAATGGATTTTCACAAAGTGAGCACCCATGTTGCCCCATTTAGATCAAGACAGAATATTACCAAGCCCTGCAGAAGGCCCTGCCCTCAACAGTCATCTATCCTGCTTTCCAGCACCATCGATTAGCTTGGCCAGTTTTTGAACTTTGTTAAATGGTTTCCTAGAGCAGCAGTTGCCAGCAGGTGGTCCACGAGGTCCGAAAGGTTGGCAACTGCTGTCCTAGAGTATATATTCTTTTTGTGTTTCCTTTTTTCCTTTTTTTTCTAGAGTATATATTCTTGTGACACCTTCCTTGCAACAGTCTGTCTTTGAGACTAATCTGTGTTGCTGTATCTTATAGTAGTTCATTGTTATTGCTGGATGGTCTGAACATGTTAGAATGATCCATTCTTTGGTTGGTAGAAATTTGAGTTGATTTCATGTTGGGATAATTTCAAATAGTGTTGCTCTAGACATTTCTTGGCCTTTGGCTGCACATATATACTCACTTGGGTAAAATCCTAGGACTAGATTTAACTCTGTTGGCAGGTATCCATATTGCTAAAGAATTTTTCGAAGTAGCTGTATCAACTTGTTCTTTCAAAAGCACAGTATTTGATTTGGCAACATCTGTATATATATAAGGCTAATATGCTAAGTGTTTGGCCATTTGACTGGTCGCTGTGACATGCACTGACCACCAGGGGCAGACACTCGATGCAGGAGCTGCTGAGATGCAATGACTTGGTAGTGCTGGTTCTTGGGTGATGCACTCTGAAACCAGAGAGGAGGGAGCCTGATTCCTCATGGGCTGTGCAATTCCACCTTTGGCCGTGGGTTATGTTGGTGCTGGGGCACTGTCGGTCCCGAATCTGGCATTCCACACCCTGTAGGACAGTAACTTTGCAGAGTGCCCTCTGGCACTCCAAGAGGGTGCAGGCTGGCCTGAAGGACCCCCCCCCCCCTCCGTGCACCAATGTCATGCATCAGGCCTCTAGTTAGTCTATTTTCTCTCTATACGAACAGGAAATATGCTAATTAGCCAGCGTCATGACAGCTCAGGAGGAGCTGTGTTCCCAAATGGGTGGGAGGAGGCTGGGGGCAGGCTAGAGCTGAGACACAACATGCAGGAGCGCCTGCCCCCACCCCAGGGGACACAACCGGTGGTTGGTGCTTTGTGGGTCAGGCTCGGGTCCCAGCCCCCCGACTCTAGTAAAGAATAAGGATTTAGTTCCTTTAAGCTCTTTATTCCCTGCTTTGATACTTTAAATTATTTTTAGTTCTCTAGTTGGGTATTATTATAACTTGACATAATCTGTTCTAGTAACTTTGGAAAGTATTTTGTTCATTTGTGGTAAAAGAAAGATATTAGACATCCCCTGATTGTATTATTTTAAAAAACAATAAGGCTCTCTTTCACACAGAGAGGAAATTGTACAGAATTTAAATTTGTGCCACATCATATGAACAAGCAATGTTAACGGGAAACCCATGAATAAATGGTAAAATTACTGATTTGAGGATAAAATACTAGAATAAAGCCATCTCTCCATTGCCTGCCATCTATATTGGGGTACCTGCTTACCCCAATTTTTAGGCATACCTGCTTAAAACATTCTATTCAAAATTTTGTGGCTTAACATGGGAGAACTTTATTTTCTTGCTCCTGTAATAGTGCTTTTGACGTGGACAATTTGTGTTTTTTTTTGTCTGGCTTTTACACAGCGAAATTATTTCAAGCTTCATCCATGCAAACTGTGCTTTAATAACCGTTCTTTGTGGGTGTTCTTTGTAAGAAGGCTGACTTTCCTTATATGCACATGGGACTTAGGGGCCTGGGCTGGTTTCCTCCTGTGACTCTGCCATCTCATAGGATCGTGGTGACTCTGCCTCTAGGCGCAATGGGGAAGAGGTAATGGAGAAAGAACATGTGCTTCTAAGAATAAGAATATTGTCACAGAGGCATAGTCATCACTTGGGCTCGCATTCCATTGGTGGGAACTTCACATGGGACGTCAGGGGCTGGGAGACGTAGTGTTTAGCTGAGCACTGGTCAGGCAGTGCCAGCTCCGCAGGAGACTGGAGGAGCATGGATACCTCGTGAGCTATCTCTTCTGTACCGTTTCCTTAAGGACTTATCCAGAATAATTTTTTTGAGGTGAAATTGGAACATAACCTAAGTTTCAGGTGTGCAACATTGAAATTTGTCATCTGTGTACACTGCAAAACAAAGTGATCCCCACCAAAAATCTACCATCAAGACCAAAATAACTTGTGTTCATTAACTTGGTATAATTTCACATTTGTTATGGTGCTAATTAAGTAATAGAGGCTTTATAGGAAAATAAGTTTAGGCTTACAACTAAATGGCATGTCTTGCTTTCTTTGGTACTTCTTAGGAGTGTGATTTGTTTTAACTTTACTTCCTTACACTTTACAGTTAGGTCACCTCTCAGTGAAACTTACAAACTACCTACGATATTTACAGCAGTTTTACAAACCACTAAGAAAGAAAAAAAGCTGTCAACTATGGTATGCTATTGGTAGTAAACATTGGCTACATTTGATTTAACCCCCTTTTCATCTTTTTTCCTCCCTTCCCTCTAGTTTGTGATTGGTGCAATGGAAGAAGCTGGAATGTGCGGGTTAGGGGTGAAAGCGGATGTGTTGCGTACTTCTCAATCAAACGATATTCTTCAACATCAAGACTCACATTGTGGTGGAACAAGTAATAAGCACTCACTGGAAGAGGCTGAAGGCTTCATAACAAAACACAGAAGTTTGGTGAACCCAGCCTACTGCACACAGGAGCCAAGAGAGGAAATTCCTGGGCAGGAAGCTAGAACAGATCCCCCCGATGGTCAGCAAGATTCAGATTGCAACAGGAACAAAGAAAAAACGCTAGGTAATAATCTCTGCTTAGTGGTTGGATGTTGTCACACGCAGCTCGTTTATTTTACATTTCCTGCTACACAGGTGATTATGAACATGGCCGGTAGTGGCCAGTATTGAGGTGGCTGTTTAGCGTCTGTTGTCTTCAGTGTGGTCCGTCTGCTGCAGTTCTGTGCAGGAGGCAAAGATAGCAGAGTGGGGAATTCTCTCTAAATAATCAATAACTGGCTTTTGTGAAAAAAATTTGGGCCAACTTGAAGGAATTCATATTCGACTTGCCTTGTTTGTGTCTTTAATGTGGTTTGACCAAAATTCACCCTGAAAACTATATATTTATTTGATCACTTTATTTAAAAACTAGTCACAACAATTTAGAGATGACATAATGTTATCTGCAGTTCTGAAAGTGGGTTAAGACTGGCTTTCAAGAGTATGTTTTCTTTCTTTCTTTCTTTTTTTTTTTTTTTTTTTAATATATTTTATTGATTTTCCACAGAGAGGAAGAGAGAGGGATAGAGTTAGAAACATCGATGAGAATCATCGATCAGCTGCCTCTTGCACACCCCCTACTGGGGATGTGCCCACAACCAAGGTACATGCCCCTGACCGGAATCAAACCTGGGACCTTTCAGTCCTCAGGCTCTATCCACTGAGCCAAACCGGTTTCGGCAAGAGTATGTTTTCTTTCTCCTGTTCTGTTTGAGATTTAGGACTAAGATGTGATACATTAAATCTTGTTATGATATTTGAAATCCCCTTTTATTTTAGCCTTACTGGTTGCCCCTAGTTTTTTAAACTTATTATACCTAAAATTAACAGTGTTTAATTTGAGTGGTTTTCTATATGCTAAATTAGAATTATCCTTCTTATTAAATCCATTTTCTGGTATATTGGAAACCTTAAAAATTTATAGAAATATAATAATAAAAAATAATTTTTATTCCTTGCAAACAATACAGATTTCTTCAAAAAGTCAGCAGCCCCAATTACATGTGTAACAGCAGATGTAGTCTTAAAAGTTACACCTAACATTACTATGTGATTATTCATAATAGCCCAAAAGAAATACTTGTTACCCATCAGCTCATACAATGGATTATTATTCAGCAATAAAAAGGAATGGCCCAGCTGGCATGCTCAGTAGTTGAGCATCTACCTATGAACCAGGAGGTCAGAGTTCAATTCCTGGTCAGGGCACATGCCTGGATTGTGGGCTTGATCCCTAGTATGGGGCATGCAGGAGGCAGTTGATCAGTGATGCTCTCATCATTGATGTTTCTATCTCTCTGAAATCAATAAAAATATATTTAAAACAAAACAAACATTATCACTTATTTGTTAATTCCACTTGTCCCCTTGTATCTAAGCCACCTGCTTTACCCTGCCAAAGTCTTTAAATAGTATGGAGCTCTTTTTCCCAAGGGAAAAGCTATCTTGACATCTTTTTATCTACGTTGAACTTGGTTAACCCACAAAATATGCTTCCTAAATCATTCAGAAATTATTTAAATTGTGCATAGGAAAAGACGTGTCACAAATGTGTACCTTAGGCAGAGAGTACCAACTGAAATTCCCTCTGAACTTGCTTCTATATTTGTACTTGGTAAGGAGAAAGTTTTTAAAAATATTCTGCCCTTTGTAACTTGCTCTTTGTCTTAAGTTGGACATCAGTGGGTAAGCAGGGGAATTCTTAAACCTTCAGCAAGAGTTCTTACAAATAGCTGTGTTAAAGAGTGAAGAAATTAGGGGTAGGGGAGCGGAAGAAATGCCTGTCAATCTCGAATTTAAAATAGCTTTCTTAATTTGGTTGGTAAATCTCTTATTTCTAGTTATAGGCATAAATTATTTTATTCTGGGTGTCAGAACATAGGAAGTGCTGTGTAGAATTTGCAGGTTAGATTAGATCTCATTCTTCTTCCAGGACTTATTTCTTATCTTGTTAATCATCAGGTAAAGAAGTTTTATTATTGATGCAAGCCCTAAACACCCTTTCAACTCCAGAAGAGAAGCTGGCAGCTCTCTGTAAGAAATATGCTGATCTTGTGAGTATTAAATCAAAGGGTTGAGGGCCATATAAAATATAGCAAAATGGATATGTGTTGATAAGTTTTTAAAAAATATATTTTTACTGATTTCAGAGAGGAAGGGAGAGGGAGATGGAGATAGAAACATCAATAATGAGAGAGAATCATTGATCAGCTAGCCTCCTGCACGCTCCACAGTGGGATCTAGCCTGTAACCCCGGCAAATGCCCTGACCAGGAATTGAACCGTCACCTTCTGGTTCATTGGTCAACCACTGAGCCATGCCGGCTGGGCTAAGTTTTTTTAAATGTGGTTTTGGTGTAGCTTTAAATGTTAAATTATGTTTTATTCTAAAATTGAAGAGGAGAATCTAATTTCTTGGTTTATTTTTTTTGTTGTTGTTGCTTATATGACAGTTTTATAATGTGATACATATAGTACATTAGTATGCTAAGATATGGTATACATTTTGTAAAACTCAGTTTGTAGTATGTCTAAGTCAGTATTTTCATTCCTGTGTCATGCTTTTAGTCATTTGGGGTATATGGTTCTATATTTAATATAATCGTTCCTACATTTAACTTTTTCCAAGGGAAATTTAGAGTTAAAGGTTTTAGCCTTTGTGATTGAGATTGTGAGTTGGATGAAATAGTCTACTAAAATAATGCTGTAGGACAAAAGTTTTACAGCTATGGATGAAGACAGTAGTGGGGGTTAGGGAATGGGGTGGGGAATCGGGTGGTGGAGGGGAGCTACGGGGGGGGAGGATAGAGGAACATCTGTAATAATCTGAACAATAAAGATTTATTTAAAAAAATAAAAATAAATAAAACAATACTGTATCTCGGGAAATTTGTATTTACATATACTGTGTTCCAGGCATTCCTTTTCCCCAGTTTCCTCCAAAGAAATTGACCTTATTTATTCTGGGCCTATGTTATTTCAAATAGCATTAATTCTCTTTTTAAAATTAAGAAAGCAGTCTCAATATGGAAATACTGCCATTCTTTTTGAACTAAAGCATGTAAAAGTCATAGAACCCTTTGAAGTAAGGATTTTGGAAGGCTTTTAGACTTCTAATATAAATGTTAAAATTAGCGCTGTTAGTGAAATACTTAACATGACTCGTCATTGACAATTTATATGTATTTTCATCTGTTGGTTTTTAAAACAGTAAGTTTTTTATTGATTTTTAGAGAAAGAGGAAAGTAGAAGGTTAGAGAGATAGAAACATCAATGAGAGAGGAACATCATTCATTGGCTGCCTCCTATACACAACCCTACTGGGGATCGAGCCCACAACCTTGGCAAATGCCCTAACCGGGAATTGAACTGCCGACCTCTTGGTTCCTAGATCAACGCTCTACTGCTGAGCCACGCTGGTGGGGCTTCATCTATTGTTAAAGCAGTTGTTCTATATCATAAATACTACTTTTTGTCAATGACCAGATCATACTAAGTTTTGGAGAGGATGTGCATCTACTTGATCTCCTATAAATTATTGTGGGCAAAGAAATTTGCTAGCCACTTTGGCAAACAGTTTGGCATAGTAATGTGAAATAGAACATTAGAAACCTGGCTAGCAACCCCACTTCTAGGTTTGCACCCAAGAGAAATTGTTGCATGTGTGTATGAGGAAGCACGTCAGAATGTTCACATCATTGTGAGTAATAAAACCTGGAAGCAAACCAAATGCTCAGTGATAAATGAATAGGTCAATACAATGTGTTGTGTGTTTTGTATTTTTTAAAAGTGTAATATTACTCAACCTGTTGGCTAAATCTGGTGAGGCCTGTTTTTGTACTAAAGCTGAGAATGGTTTTTAGTACATTTTTAAAGTGCGGTTAGGAAAAGAGGATGACACAACAGATATCCTGTGTGACCTGCAAAGCCTAAAATATTTACCTTCTGGATAAAGTTTGCTGTTCCCTGATCTATAGCTACATGTGAATAATCTGGATGACTCCTAGCAATATAATCTATGGCTGTGCTGTCCAAAACAGCCAGTAGTCACATGTGGTTATTTAAACTTATATTAATTTAAATGAAAGAGAATAAAAAATGTTGTTCCTCAGTTGCAGTAGCCACAATAAAGTCAAAACAACTAAAACCAAAATGATTTCTTTTAGGACCACACACAGATGACATAAAAGAAAGAGAAGAGCAAAGAAGTAGTGAACCCAAGATTAAGAATTGTGGTTACCTTGAGGCTAGGAAGGCTGGGGGACTTCCAGTTTTCACTGGAGTTACAGATGGTGTCTGCAGAAATTGCAGCCCCTTGGAACTGTGCCACAGAGAGATTACTTTACAAAAGTATTACTTTTCCAGCAGGAATTTCCATAAAGGTCTTTTTAATAGCTATAGGCACACATTGCCAGTAAGGATGCTTGGTATGTTTTGATAGGCCACAAGGTGTCACTCTTGTTTCTGAAATCATGACAGCATCATCTGCTTTAGTAAAAGATGGTAAGGCTGCCATCTTATCCATTAGTGTCGATTTAACCTTGAAATAGAATCGTTTGCTCCAAATTGCAAATTGCAATGATCCCCCCTAACTCACCGAGAAGCCTGAGCACAGCTTATTAAGTTCTAATTCGGAGAGCCGTTTCATTAAAGTAGCCTGCGTGTGCTTTCAGAAAAGTAAAATTCAATAGTACTGATTCTTCTTCCTTTTTTTTTTTTTTCATAATCAACATTTATTTTTTATTTCTTAAATAAATATTGTTCTATTATTACAAATGTTCCTCTTTTTTCCCCCCTCCATTGCTCTCCTCCACCAGGTTCCCACCCCACCCTCTGTCATTCCCCCCCCCCCATTGTCCTCATCCATAGGTGCTCAGTTTATGTTCAGTCTCTTCCCACACCCACCTCTCCCCTTTTCCCCGAGAATCGTCAGTCTACTCCCCTTCCATACCTCTGATTCTATTTTATTCACCAGTTAATATTGTTCATCTGATTTTTTTAATTCCCTTGGTTTTTAGATTCACTTGTTGATAGTTTCGTATTTGTTGCTCATAATTTTTATCTTTATTTTCTTCCTCTTCCTTAAGAACCCCAATGGTACTGATTCTTGAAAAGTTTTCCCCAAACATCATATTTTTGTTTTTAGTAAGAAAAAAGAGGTTAAGATTTTTTTCCCTGCCCTAGATTGTTTGCTTACTTTCCTGTCACAACTGGAAAAGAGAAGGTTGGCAGAGTAGAGTGGCATGAACTAATTGAAAATGAAACATTCCATTATAATATTTGGTTATTAAGTTTTAGCTCTTACTGTAATTCTCCCATCCATAACTCAGAGGTCTTCAGTGTACTTCCTAAATGTGCAATGCTTATTATTTTAGCTGGAGGAGAGCAGGAATGTTCAGAAGCAAATGAAGATTCTGCAGAAGAAGCAAGCCCAGATCGTGAAAGAGAAAGTTCACTTGCAGAGTGAGCACAGTAAGGCTATCTTGGCAAGAAGCAAACTTGAGTCTCTCTGCAGGGAACTTCAGCGTCACAATAAGACGCTAAAGGTTAGTTGGTTCTTTGTTCTGTTTTTCAGGTGGGACTGACTCAGTTTTTTTATAATCATCATGTTCCTATCCTATATAACAAAAGGGTATGGTAATATGCAAATTGACCCAACTGCAGAACTACCTCAGTACAGGAGCTGCCCCCTGGTGGTCGGTGCGCTCCCACAGTGGGAGCGTCTCTTAGCCACAAGCCAGGCTGATTGCTGGTGAGCGCAGCTGCCTGCCTCCAAGGCAGGGCTAAGGATGTCTGACTGGGCCTAAGCCATCAGGTGGACATCCCTCAAGGGCTACTGGTCTGGGAAGGGTGCAGACTGGGCTGAGCGGACCCGCCCCTGCCCCCAGTGCACGAATGTTGTGCACTGGGCCTCTAGTTTAAAATAAGTCCTTGTGTCTACTTGGAGACAGAGCTACCATCTTGCTTTCTATTTTGCTTGATCTGATGCTTAGGGTCCCTCATAGGCACTCATGGGGTTCTAGATGAGATTGGTATTTACAGCAAGCTCTCCTGCTTCGAGCTATGGCTTAGGAAGCACAAAGTGGCCAGTTTTCTGCTGAGCACTGATGTAGTTTATTACCACAAATGAGAATCTGACATGCGATGAGAAGTAAGTGGGAACAGATTAGAGGCAGAATGAGTCTGGGAAGGGAAAGCACGTGCTTAGGGTCTCTCCCTTCCCCTCACCCCCCAGGGCTGTTACTCAGCTACTTTGCCAAGCTGCCCTTGCCAGCTACCCAGTTCCTGAGTACTTTTAGAAGAGCACTTGGCTTATTATAAAGGAAGAGGGAGCAGGCACCTGAAGATTGATTGGCACCCACAGTGGAAGAAGGAAAAAGACAGGGCGGGCACTCCTCTGCCATAGTTTCATTTGATTTTCACTGAGCAGGATGTCCTCAGACTTCCCTACCACAGCACCCCCAAGGCCCAGAATACAGGAGCACTCGGGATGGATCTGCACCTGATGTGGGAGCCTATGTTTTCTTCTTTGCATTTGAACCTTTGGATTTAGATGTTAATTAAAATAGGTACTACTCCCCCCCACCCCCTTCAAATAGCAAATCAATATTTTGTTTGGACTGTTAATTGTTTAGTCATGTAAAAGCCTTTTAATACGTGTATCCTAGCAAGAGTTGGAAGTAGGCTTTTTAAAATATATTTCTTTATTGATTTCAGAGAGGAAGGGAGAGGGATAGAGAGATAGAAACATCAATGATGAGAGAGAACCACTGATTGGCTACTTCCTGCAGGCCCCCTATTGGGGATTAAGCCCACAATCTGGGCATGTGCCCTTGGCCGGAATCGAACCTGGGATCCTTCAGTCTGCAGGCCAATGCTCTATCCACTGAACCAAACCGGCTAGGGCGGAAGTAGGCTTTTTCAAGTACAGATTCCATTTGTCCTCTTGCCCCTGGGAAGTACAAGGTATGTCCTAAGAAGGGATCTGTCTTGAGGCTGCTTTGAGATTCTGCCTTGTGGAACCAGTGAGGAGGGTACTTGGGAACGTAGACGGAGGGAGCTGGCTGGGTGGACAAGCTCCTTGCTTATCTAGCAGTACAGTGAATTTCACATGGTCACATGCTTCTTCCTTACAGCAGGGCAGTTTGCAAAATCTCTCCCCTTGTTCCATCTACTCAGGAAAAGCTGCTTGCTCTTAAATGATAGCCTTTAGTTCATAAATGAAGGAATTAGAATTCAGAAGCATCCCTTCAGAGCAGCAGTGAATGAACCCGCGCGGCAGCAGCCTTTGCGAGCACGTTCCCCACAGGTCTATAAATTATCTTCCATCATCAGGAAGAAAATGTGCAGCAGGCCCGCGAGGAGGAAGAGAGACGGAAAGAAGCAACCGCACACTTCCAAATTACTCTAAATGAAATCCAGGCCCAGCTGGAGCAGCACGACATGCACAACGCCAGGCTCCGCCAGGAGAACATCGAGCTGGGGGAGAAGCTGAAGAAGCTCATCGAACAGTACTCCATGAGGGAGGAGGTAAAGGCGTTCGTTTGTTTCAGCAGCTTCTCATTAGCAATTCCTTTTCACCATTCACTGCTGAACGTGTGAAACTTGTCACGTGGTGTGGTACAATTTTTGTGTGTGCATAGTGGAAGGTGAGCCGCTTTTTTAAAAATTTATTTTTATTGATTTCAGAGAGGAAAGGGGAGTGATAGATAGAAACATCGATGAGAGAGAAACAGCGATTGGCTGTCTCCTACATGCCACCCTATGGGGATCAGCAGAGCCCGCAACTTGGGCACGTGCCCTGACTGGGAGTCAGATCATGACCTCTTGCCTAGGGTTGACGCTCAACTACTGAGCCACATCGGCTGGGCATATTTAATTTTTTTAATTTATTTTATTTTTTGTGTGTGTTTGTTTGTTTCTTTTAATATATTTTTATTGATTTCGGAGAAAGGAAGGGAGAGAGGGATAGAAACATCAATGATGAGAGAGAATCATTGATTGGCTGCTTCTTGCACGCCCATCCTGGAGATCAAGCCCACAACCCTGGCATGTGCCCTGACTGGGAATCAAACTGGCAACCTCTTGATGCATGGGTCAACACTCAACCACTGAGGCACACAGGCTTGGCAGATTTTATTTATTTTTAAAATATGTTTTTATTGATTTCAGAGAGGAAGGAAAAAGGATAGAAACAATGATGAGAGAGAATCATTGATCGGCTGCCTCGTGCACGCATTCCTACTTATACTGGTGATCAGAGCCCTCAACCTGGGCATGTGCCCTGACCGGGAATCGAACCATGACCTCCTGGTTCTTGGATTGACGCTCAACCACTGAGCCACATCAGCCAGGCCATTGGTTGATTCTTGCATGTGCCCTGGCTGAGGATTGAACCCACAACCTTAGTGTATTGGGTCAATCCTCTAATCAACTGAGCTACTAGGCCAGGGCCTCCCCTGCCTTGTAAGTTAATAAAATGTTATGCTTTTATCTGTGTTGTATTCCTTACACAAAAAGATTTAAATGGTTGATTAAAATTAAAAAAAAAGATTGTGGCATCTGCTCTGGGTTACTTTATCCAGTTTTCAAGACAAACCTTAGATTATATTAATTTAGAATTTTATATATAGCCCTTTAAAAATTTAGTTTTTAAAATGATTTTATTTTAATCACTCATCATTTTTTACTTTTTATTATGGACAATTGAAAACTTAAAAGTAGAGAGAAAATATGTCACCTGGATTCAGTAGATGAAACCATAGTTTCAGCTATATTCCTGTCACCTTCCCCTGGGTTATTTTGTTGTTTTATGTTTGTTCACTTTTTTTGTCCCCTCGGTTATTTTGAAGAAGGTGCCATATTATTCCATTCATATATATTTGAAAAGATGTTTAAAAAAATATAAGGATTCTTTTTTAAGCTTATCCACAATACCATTTTCACACCTAAATATTAACAGTAATTACTTAATATTAAATGTCTAGTCATTGTCCAAATTTTTCTAAGTCCCCTTTTATAAATTTTTTGTGTCTTAGTAATTTGAACATTATCAGATAATCTTTCCTTGGTCAGGAAGAGCTACTCTTTCTGCAACTGAGAAGGGATAATCTGACCTTTATTATACATAAATTACCACATCACAGTTTTCCTTGGAAATAACAGCCTTTTACCAAAGGGCTACTATGGTCCAGGCCCCATACACCTTACAAAAAGTATTGGATTGGCTTGTATAGCTCTGCAGTGTGGGCATGGCTGTCTCCACATAGGTAGGGGACTGGGATTCAGCAGGGATGAGGGCCATCTGCTTGAAGCCATGTCTGCCTTCATAGCATGCTTCTTTAAACTAAGAAATTGGAAAATTTAACAGGAAGAAAAAGTCTCCAGCCGAAACCAGTTTGGCTCAGTGGATAGAGTGTCGGTCTGCGGACTTACAGGTCCCAGGTTCGATTCCGGTCAAGGGCATGTACATTGGTTGCGGGCGCATCCCCATGTGGCGTGTGCAGGAGGCAGCTGGTCGATGTTTCTCTCTCATCCATGTTTCTAGCTCTCTCAATCCCTTCCTCTCTGTAAGAAATCAATAAAATATATTTAAAAAAAGAAAAAGTCTCCAGAAATTCTGTATATGATCCATGGGTTAACAGTTTGAACTGCTTATCCATTCACTGAGCCACACTGGCCGGGCTGTACCTCCTATTTCTGATCTACTTACTGTGATGATGAAGCTCAGACTATATCAAGTAAAAGATGGCCCAGCCATTGTGGCTCATTGGTTGAGCATTGACCTGTGAACCAGGAGGTCACGGTTCAATTCCCTGTCGGGCCATGCCCAGGTTGCGGGCTCGATCCCCTCTAGGGGGTGTGCAGAAGTCAGCCGATAGATTATTCTCTCTCATCATTAATGTTTCTATCTTTCCCTCTCCTCTCTAAAATTACTAGAAATATATATATATATATATATATATATATATATATATATATATATATATATTTTTTTTTTTTTTTTTTTTTTTTTAAATATATTTTATTGATTTTTTACAGAGAGGAGGAGAGAGGGATAGAGAGCTAGAAACGTCGATGAGAGAGAAACATCAACCAGCTGCCTGGGATGTGCCCGCAACCAATGTACATGCCCTTTACCAGAATCAAACCTGGGACCTTTCAGTCCGCAGACGGACACTACCACTGAGCCAAACCGGTTTCGGCACTAGAAATATTTTTAAAACAATTTTAGAAATAGGAAGTACTGGCATGTGGCTGCCAAAGTGCTTGATTGCCCACCTCCGAAAGAGAGGATATGGGGTGTTCGTAGAGGGCCCATTTTTGAGGTGCCAATCAGAAAGACACTGTTATTAGCTCTGGTGGCATTAGCAGGGAAAGCAGAGTAAGAAACAAGGCATTGTAGCTCGTGTTATGTTTCCTTGTTGTGTTCCATTTTCATTAAGTGATGGGAGAATTTGACTTTCCCTGCAGCATATTGATAAAGTGTTCAAACATAAGGAAGTACAACAACAGCTTGTGGATGTCAAGCTTCACCAGACCTCACAGCTGATAAAGGAAGCTGATGAAAAACATCAGAGAGAGAGAGAGTTTGTAAGTTCTGTTTCTTAAAAAGAAATTATTGCCTAATTGTAACCAAAGCCATTTAAAATATGTTAATTTATTCTTCGTATGTTGTGGCACCTGGGTCATGCTAATTATTTGTTGTTGTTTTAGATTGAGGAGGGTATGTTTGTGTTAGAAAGCATTTGGCTTTTTATTTCTATTAATTTATTGTACAGAAGATTTATTAGAGAGATTAGACCACATTACTGGAAAGACCTGCACTTGTTTGACTTTTCTGTGCTTAGAATGTTTATTTCACTTTGAGGTAATAGTCACTAAGTTCAAGAATAATACCAGTATTTAGTACATTAAATTTGGCAATTCAGTTTAATATCAAGCTTATGAAACATGGGTCTCATATAATACTGTTACATTTTTTTTTTCAATAAAGTACCTTGAAACTAGGGAAACTATTTGTTTACTTGTATAATTTTAACAAAATTCTCTATGCCCTAATCCTCAGCGTTGTTCTCAAAGTATATGCTTAGATTATATTGCATTCTATAATTGTGAATACAGTGGAATTTCATTGGATGGGTATGTATAATTAATAACTGGCAATTCAACTATATGTGCTTAACCAAAAAAATAAAATAAAAATGAGAAATGGTTATGATAATGAAGACTGTTCCATCCAGCTTTCCCTCAAGTTAGCCTGGCATGAAGACTCGTTCCTCAGTGGCCCTCATGTGAACAGGTCATACTGAGTGTGCATGTAGGGTTAAGAGAGACGCATTGTTCACACAACGTGATCCTGCGCCTGAACTGACAGTGCTATCCCAGGTGTAACTGAAAACGTGGGCATTATTTCTAGAGTTGGAATGTAATTTCATTTTTGCGCCCACACGCACATTACACACACACGTTTTCTGGTTGGTTTAAGGACTTTTTGAGGCTTATTTGGCCTATGTGTGACATTTTACTTCAGGGACTGAATTTCATAGATGCCTACTATGCAACTTCATTATATAATTTTTTTGCGCCCCCAGCCCTGCTTTTTTTTTTTTTTTTTTTTTTTTTTTTTTTTTCAGCCCTGCTTTTTAAAAAGTGATCAGAAACCTGATCTCTGGTTTCATTGCTTAGCTCCATACCCGTTCATCTCTGTGGAGTACAGGGGCTTTCTAATATACCCATATGTCAAGATTCCTAGCCATGTTTCTGCTAATACTAGACTAATTATTTTTACGTAAAACACAATAATTTAATCCTGACTTTTATAAACATATTATTAATGCTCCACAGTACATTTTCTAAGCAGTAAGATTATTCCTACATCCCTATGTATTAATAAATGTTACAGATCAAAGATATAAGTAACTGGCACTTGGTGTAACAACATTTCACCTACAGACTTGGGGTTCTTAATAAAATAATGATTGGGAGTATCAGGTCATTTCATATTGTAGTCATATTTGTAATTACGATTAGTATTTTGCCAGAATGTTTCTGTTTTCCAGTTGTTAAAGGAAGCAACAGAATCGAGGCACAAATATGAACAAATGAGACAGCAAGAAGTACAACTAAAACAGCAGGTAACTTGACAGCAGGGGATAGTAGAATTTGTAAGAAAAATCTGTGGTTCATTTGATATATACCTTGAATCTCTTAAGATGCTTCTGCTTGTTCCTAGCCAGAACTGAGTAGATCACGTGTCCCTCCTAGAATTTTCCTCTTCCTTTAGGGTGACCAACTCGTCCCCATTTGCCCATGACTTCTTTCCTGGTTTTATTACTGGAAGTGCTGCATCCTAGCAAACACTTAGGTCTCAGGCAGACTGGGATGATTGGTCACACCATCTGCAGTGTCCCCTCTGCAGTATCCCAGGTACTTCCTTCCTTGGTCAGTCTGTTCCCACGTGTGTCAGCTAATTTCCAATGAAAGAAAAACGGGTAAATCTTCAGATTTTAGTTCGTTTGTATTAAGTAGAACTGCATGAAACTTAACTTATCTGACCTACAAAATGTCAGTCTCCTAGTAGAATCTAAAATCTTAGAAAGTTTGTGCTCTGAGAACATAACCTATTTTAAAAACTTCCCATTGGGACCATTCAGTGCCGCTCCCAGGGAGAGCTGTGGGTAGTGTTTTTAATGGGGCCCTCCCTCCTTTTCCCATTCTCTTTCTTTTTGTTTATGTACGGTATTGCTGACTGTGGTCACCACGCTGTATATTAGATCCCTGGGACTTACTCGTCTTATAACAAAGTTTGTACCCTTTGACACCGTGTCCTCGATTTCCCCACCCCTCCTCTCTGGCAAGTAGCATTTCACTCTGTTTCTATGAATTTATCTTTTTAGATTGCACATACATATAAGTGAGATGATACAGTATTTGTCTTGCTCTGTGTGAATTGTAATATATCACTTAGCATATGCCCTAAAGGTACATCCATGTTATCACAAATGGCAAGATTTCCTATTTTATGGCTGAATACTATTCCATTGTGTGTATACACCACATATTCTTCATTCATCTGCTGATGGACACTTAGAATGTTTCCATATCTTGGCTGTTGTGAATAATGCTGCAGTGCACATGTGAGTGCAGATACCTCTTTGAGATAGTGATTTCATCTCTTGGATATATGCCCAGAAATGAGATTGCTGGATTATATGGTAATGACTTAAAAAAAATTTTTTTTAGAAACTTCCATACTGTACTGGTTTACATTCCCACCAACACTGCACAGGGTTATCTTTTCTTCACATTCTTATCAACTTTTGTTCTTTTACCATCCTATCTAATAATGAGGGAATATGCTAATTGACTGTCACACCCTCAAAGATGGCGACACCCACAGCTACAAGATCATGGCGCCCAGTCCCCTCAGTCCCCCAGCCGCCTGGGGCCTCCAGAGGCTTGCACTGCTGGCAGTGGCATGGTTTTGGTTTGCATTACCCTGATGCAGTCATTTTCAACCTTTTTCATCTCATGGCATACATAAACTAATTAGTAAAATTCTCCTGCATCCCCAAAAATATACTTTTTGCTGATCTGGCCAAAAAGAAAAGGTATAATTTTGACTCTCACACCAGGCTGCTATTGTTATGTCGGCGGTTGTTATTTTTATTTTACATTCTAAGGGAAGAGAGGTCAGTGCCCGTGACTATATAGGTATTGCATGTTTTAAAAATTGTTGTAAGCACACCCATTGAAAATCACTGCCCTGATAAATACCTTTTCATGTACCTCTTGGCCATTTGGATGTTTTGGAAAAACATCTATTCACGACTTCTGCCCATTTTTAAATTGGGTTGTTTGTTTAATTGCTATTGAGTTGTATGAATTCCTTATATATGTGGTTTGCAGATTTTTTCTCCCATTCCATAGGTTACCTTTCATTTTGTTGTTTCTTCTGCTGTATAGAAGCTTCTTTTTTGATGGTTAGGTTTTAGCTAAATTTTTTAATTAAAGCATATACATTTTTAAAGTAAGTTTTTATTGATTAAAAATATATAAATTAAAAAATATATTTTATTGATTTTATACAGAGAGGAAGGGAGAGAGATAGAGAGTTAGAAACATCGATGAGAGAGAGTCATCGATCAGCTGCCTCTTGCACACCCCCTACTGGGGATGTGCCCGCAACCAAGGTACATGCCCTTGACCGGAATCGAACCTGGGACCCTTCGGTCCCTAAGCCGACGCTCTATCCATTGAGCCAAACCGGTCCCGGCTAAAAATATTTTTTTAATTAAAAATGTTTTTTATTGATTTCAGAGAGGAAGGAAGAGGGAGAGAAAGAAACATCGATGATGAGAGAGAATCATTGGTTGGCTGCCTCCTGCACATTCCACACTGGGGATGGGGCCCACACCCAGGCATGTGTCCTGACCGGGAATAGAACCAGGGTTCATAGATCAACACTCAACCACTGAGCCAAACTGGCCAGGCTGTACATAATTTTATTAGACTTGATGCTATTGCACACTTAATAGACTACAGTATGGTGTAACCATAACGTGATATGCACTAAGAAATCAAAATGTTTGTGACTGTTTATTGCAATATTCACTTTATTGCAGTGGTCTGGAACTGAACCCACAATATCTCTGAGTAGAGCAATATGGCCATAGTACTCATTGCAAGTTTGTACCATTCAACAATATCTGTTCTATTTCCCCTCCTGTCATCCTCTGGTAACCACCGTTTTACTCTGTTTTTAAGAGCTTTTTAAAATATCCACATTTAAGTGATATATCATACAGTACTTACCTTTCTCTGCCTGACTTTCCTCACTTAGCCTAATGTTCTCAGGGTGATCCATATTATCATATAATTAAGTTTTAGAAATCCTGATTCTTACTGTATACTTATTGCTGCATTAGAATCTTGGAACACACTTTTTGCAGTTTCTAAGTACGTGGCTCTCAGCAGAGAAAGCACCCATCTTCGTTGGAAGGCAGAGGAGATTAAACTGGGCCTTGCAGAAGCTTTTCCGTGTAGTTGTGGTTTTTTGCTTTTGTTGTTTGTGCTTTTTGTGTCATATCCAAAAAAAATTATTGCCAAGGCCACTATCAGGAGCTTTTTACCTGTTTTCTTCTAGGAGTTTTATGGTTTCAGGTCTTAATGTTTATGTTCTTAATCCATTTCAAGTTAATTTTGTGAGTGGTGTTTAAGATAGCAGTCTGATTTCATTCTTTCACATGTGGATATCCAGTTTTCCCAGCACTGTTTATTGAAGAGACAGTCCTTTCCCCATTGAGTACGTATTCTTGGCCTCCCTGTCACATATTAGTTGACCATATTTGTGTAGGTTTATTTCTTGGATCTCAGTTCTGTTCCATTGGTCAATGTCTCTGTTTTTATGCCAGTCCCATACTGTTTTATTACTTTAGCTTTGTAGTATAGTTTGAAGTCAGGAAGCATAGCGCTTCCAGTTTTGTTCTTACTACAGATTTCTTTGTTCAGGTTCTTTGTGGTTCCATACAAATATTAAGATTGCTTTATTCTGTTTCCGTGGGGAAAAAATGCCATGGGAATTTTGATAGGGATTGCATTGACTATATAAATGGCTTTAGGTAGTATGGACATTTTAATAGCACTAATTATTCTTCTGATACATGAATATATCTTTCCACTTATTTCTGTCTTCCTCAGTTTCATCAGTGTCTTATAGTTTTCAGTGTATAGATCTTTTTTTCTTCAAACTTATTCCTAAGTATTTTATCGTTTTTTATGCTATTGTAAACAGGATTGTGTTCTTTATTTCTGTTTTTCAAATATTTTATTGTTAGTATGTAGAAACGGAACTGATTTCTATATGTTGATTTTTGTATCTTTACTGAATTTGTTCTAACAGTGTTTTGGCAGTTTTTGGATTTTCTATATATTAAATCAGATCATCAGCAATACAGAGATAATTTCACTTGTTCCTTTCTGATTTGGATAGCTTCTATTTCTTGCCCAATGGATCCAGCTAGGCATTCCAGTAGTGTTGAGTAGAAGTAGTACGAGTGGGCACCCTTGTCTTGTTTTTGTCCTTAAAGGGAAAGCTTTCAGCCTTTTACTGTCAAGTATGATGTTAGCTGTGGGTCTTTCATATATGGCCTTTATTATGTTGAAGTATGTTCCTTCTTTGTCACATTTGTTGAGCATTTATATCATGAATGATTGTTGAATTTTGTCAAATGCCTTTTCTGTATCTTTCGAGGCAATCATGATTTTAATCTTTGGTGTATGACATAAAGAAGTGGAACAGCAAATCGATGTTTCTATCTCCCCACCCCCTTCCTTTCTCTAAAAATCAATAAAATAAAAATTAAATTCAGTTTGGTCGTATTTTGTTAAGAATTTTTGTAGCTATGTTCATTAGGGGTATTGGTCTGAAGTTTTCTTTTCTTGTAGTATCCTTATCTGGCTTTGGTATCAGGGTAATTCTGGCTTTGTAAAATTAAGTTTGGGAGTGTCCTCTCCTATTTAATTTTTTGGAAGAGTTTGAGAATAATCAGTATTTTCATTTAAATGTTTTGTAGAATTCACCTATGAAGCCATCTGGGCCTGGGCTTTTCTTTGTTGCCTCCCTATTTTTCAATCCAGACCCCTTAGGTTTTTCCTAATACAATCTTCCTTTATGGCTGCCTTTTGTGGAGTAAGGGAGAGAGATACAGAAGTAGAAACATCAATGATGAGAGAGAATCATTCATTGGCTGCCTCCTACATGGCCTACATTGGGAATTGAGCCTGTACCTCAGTCATGAGCCCTGACCAGGAATTGAACTATGACTTCCAGGTTCATAGGTCAACGTTCAACCACTGAACTATGCTGGCCAGGCTATGGTTGTTGTTGTTTTATATATATATTTAAATTCTTTATTGTTTAAAATATTAAATATGTCATTTCCCCCCATTGACCTCTCCCCAACCGTCCCCATCCCTCAGCACATGCCCTAACCCTAACCCGCCATCAACAATATATTTTTATTGATTTCAGAGAGGAAGGAATAGGGAGACATAGAAGCATCAATGATGAGAATTGTTGGTCAGCTGCCTCCTGCATGCCCCCTACTGACGATTAAGCCTGCAACCCGGACATGTGTCCTGACCAGGAATTAAACCATGACCTCCTGGTTCATAGGTCAACACTCAACCACTGAGCCGTGCTGGCTGGCTCAATGCAACTTTTGTCTGATCTGTGTCACCTTGTGTCATGTTATCTGAGCATTAGTTTGTTTCCTTTGCTGTCACCTCTTCCTTTTCCCGCTCCCCAAATGTGACTGTCCTTCCCTAAAGTCTGTCTCATTCTGTGCTCTTACCATTCCAGTTTCCAGAACTTGTTGATGATCTCATAGACTTGAGGTATCTTGCCCACTGTTTTGTAAATCCAGCCACATAAGTCCAGGTGTCATGGTAGTTCCCACTGGCTGACTACCAGAGTGGGCCAGCATTGACCTCTCAGATGGGGCAGTCTACCTGGGTGTGCCATCTTCAATAAAATGGAGCATGCTAAAACTACTGTAACTTCTTATCTCCCCGAAGTGCCAGAACTCCCTATTCTGCCTGAGCACTGCTGCCTCCAGGTCAGCAGCTTCAGAGGCACTGTCATTGTGTCCCCTTTACAGACTGCTCCCAAATCCTCTGCATGCTTCTGCAATATTCCCTTAAATGTTTCATCCTTGCCCTGGCCCTCACCTTTCTGCAGGCATGCTTTGGCTATCTAGCTTGTCACTAGTACCACTGCTTTTAGTCTGCTTCTCCCTCCCACATACAGCAGAGCTTGCTTCTGAGTGTTCTCTCTATGCCCATCCCACCTGATCTCTGGTGGGCTGCTAGCAATTTCACATCTTACTCCCTCCCCGACCTGTTCACGTGGTGGTTTAATTTTCCTCATGCAGCACTGCTAAAAGTGAAAAGGCATCACTTATATTGTTTTTTGGCCTCTAATGATATTTTTTTTTTTCTTAAAATATATCTTATTGATTTTTTTACAGAGAGGAAGGGAGAGGGATAGAGCATTAGAAACATCGATGAGAGAGAAACAGATCAGCTGCCTCCTGCACACCTCCCACTGGGGATGTGCCCGCAACCAAGGTACATGCCCCTGATAGGAATTGAACCTGGGACCCCTCAGTCCACAGGCCGACGCTCTATCCACTGAGCCAAACTGGTTTCGGCCTGATGATCTTTTTGTTGTGTTAATACTCACACAAGGTCATTTTTCCATTGATTTTTAGAGTGATGGGGAAAGACAGAGAAACATCGATGTGAGAGAGACATCAATTGGTTGCTTCTCCCACGTGTCCCTGCAGCGCCCCGAGGGATCGAGCCTACAATAGAGCTACATGCCCTTGACTGGAATTGAACTCCCTATTCCCGAGACCCTTCAGTTTGAGGGTCAATGCTTCACTGAGCCAAACCAGCTAGGACTCTAATGATCTTTTCTTCTCTGCTTTGCTTACATGTATTGTGATCCTGAGCAAAACATTGTATTCCTTTGGGCCTGTTATCTCACCCTGAAAATAATCATATTAGATGGACTGTAAAAGTTCCCTTCTGGTTTAAAATAATTCAGCCTACCCTTGAGGCCTAGGTCAGGCATCATCCATCTGAAACTTTCCCTAATTATTCTGTTCTGACCTCTATTGTGTGCCCCCTTCTCTGAATTCCTGTTCTAGGAGGGGAGGAAGGTGGCTCCATGCTCTGTATTCTGCTTGGCCTCTTGGTTAGCATTATTTTATGAGGCAGTATAAAAATTCTTTGAGAGTGAGAGTTAAAAGAAAAACCAGTATTTCTGCCTTTTAGCTTTTTTCTTTTTAACTGTACTCCCACTGAATTCTTTCCCCCCCAACCAAACCAGTTCTTTGGCTTTTATTTCATTTTCCTACCTACGTCAAGGAAAAAGATCTCTTTGATGTCAACCTAAGAATTGTGCAGGTAGTATTATAAAAGAATGTGCCTTTTCCTAGTACAGTTTTTTTTCCTTTTAAAAATACATTTTTATTGATTTCAGAGGGGAAGGGGAAGGGGGAGAGATAAACTTCAGTGATGAGAAAGAATCATTGATCGGCCATCTGCATGCCTGCCACTGGGATCAAGCCCATCAGCCAGGCATGTGCCCTGACCGGGAATGAAACCATGACCTCCTGGTTCATAGGTTGATGCTCAACCACTGAGTCACGACAGTTTTTTCAAATGTAAGGAGCAGGGGCTGGTAGTTCATAAAGGATCAGTTGCATGAAATTTGTAACTATACAACATCCTTCAGTTATTTTATTTTTAAAATATATTTTTAGAAAATAATGTTTTTATTGATTTCAGAGAGGGAGTGAGAGAAACATCAATGATGAGAGAAGTATTGATTGGCTGCCTCCTGCACAGCCCCCATTGGGGATAGAGCCCACACCTGGGCATGTGCTCTGACCGGGAGTCATACTGACCACCTGGTTCATGGGTTGACGTTCAACCACTGAGCCATGCTGCCTGGGCAGTTCTTCAATTTTTAATATAATTGGCAGTATGAAGTTAGGAAATATTTTTACAATTTTAACATTATATCTGAAAAGATGGTTAAATCAACAGATTTCCTAAGTTTTGGTGCATTTCTGTTGATTATTAGGACTTTAGCCATCTATGCCTAGTGTGTAAGGATTGGATGCACATTTGTTGTTTGTTTAAAATAGTTTATTCACATCTATTTTTGGCATTTGTTCTTATTCCTGTCAGTTGTGTAACAATTAACATTTAACCATAATGTGTTATGAAAGTCATTGGGATTTTAAATTACTTACCTGGAACTCAAAATATCTTATACTTTTTTTCTGTAGCTTTCTCTTTATATGGATAAGTTTGAAGAATTCCAGACTACCATGGCAAAAAGCAACGAACTGTTTACAACCTTCCGGCAGGAAATGGAAAAGGTACTTGCATATTTTTAGTAGCATATTACTTAAAAGGAAATTTGAATAAGCATGATCACTACTTGGATGAGTTTGTTATGGTACTGTCTTCCATCTTTTCTGATTGTCCAGTGACATCATATTTAATCATTTTACCCTCAGCGTACCATACAAAGCTAGTGATCTTTATGTTCTTAAATTGTCTTTTTAAAGCAAATTCCTCTTATTAAATACCATTTGTTAGAAATAAAGTGGTTTCTTTTGTGTGTGTGTGTCATGTTTTATTCATTTCAGGTGATTCCTCTCCACCACTCCCCCTTCACATAGTTCTTTGTCTTTGGAGATTAAATTACTTAAAGACATACAAGCCCGAAACAGCAATTACCTATTTTGGTTAGTTGATATGTATATGTTGGTGTTCCTACCTTTTTAGCTTTTTTTGTGTGTTAACTAGTCCCATTGAATTTTTTCCCCCTCAACCAAACCAGTTGTTTGGCTTTTGTTTCATTTTCCTGCCTACATTAAGGAAAGATTTCCTTGACATCAACTAAGAATCAAAATACATCCTTACCCATCTATCCATCCATCCTTAGTTTATTTGGCATGTTCCCCTTAAAATGGGGGCTTTTTAAAAATGGTGGTGGGTTGGGGAACAGTACAGCAATGTCTTGCACTTTGTAAGCATTTTGTAGATGTTAGCCATGGTTATTACTAGATCTTAGGTTTGGTTCTGGGTTAATGTTCCTACTGCATCATATAATGTGTGACCATATACAAGTTATTTAACCTTTCTTTGCCTTTCTATTCCTTCCTTGTTAAAAATAACAAAAATGCCTTCCCTTCATAAAGTAGAGTATTTTAAACAGTGCTTAGCCATGTTAAGTGCTCAAATTACTACCTTCAGATATTTTTAGACCAAGTAATCTGTAGAATTCAGTGAGCTGCAGATTAGTTCTGCCTGCCAGTCCCTTCAGCTGAGGCTCTAGTCGAGGGAGAACTCCTACTCACGGTGAACACTAGCTGTGGCCTCCATCCGAGTGGGCACTGTTGAGGTGAAAGAGTTTAAGATGGGGGCTCCCCAATTCAGGATCTTTCTGGAGAATCCTCTGGACTGGAACACATTTCTTCTGCTAGTGGCTAATATCAGTGTTGGTTAGCACTCAACCCAGATCTCTCATCCTATCTGCCACAGCCTCTGTCCCACTCAGCCTTGTAGTTTCACAGGTGATAACCATGCACTGAGCAGTGCTGGCTCTTGATCCTTGTCCCTTGTTCCCAGCACCTGGCTCGGTGCCTGCACTGGGATCAGAGGGGGCCAATCAATGCTTCATAAAGGAATCCTGGATATGGGGCTCATGATGGGCATAGATGTCTCATTCTGATCTGAAAATGGGGGTCATGTAGCATAGGTTTAAAAACATTTTTATTTCCGTACCCGTCTTATTATTAGCAAAACCTGAAGTTGAGGTTGATCAAAACTAAGGATTAACTACTTTTTTCCTTGGTTGTTGGAGTCATCACTAAATTATGCTGCCTCTAGTTCTGAAACTGATGTAGTTTTGGAGGTTGTGGTAGAGCACTCAAGTTTTAATCTTTTGGGAGTCCTTCCTTCCAAGGGTCAGATGAATTACCCAATTCAGACAGAAAATTCACAAACATGGCCATTTTTTTGTTACAACTCGGAGGGGAAAGAGATTCTTGCCTCATGCTACCCCCAGCAGGAATGAAAGACGCACACCAACTTACCTGAGCTCAGTGGGTGTGACATCTTCCTCCATGTGCTGCTGCCTCAAAAAATTGAGATTAGATGTCTTTTTCTCATATGAAACCTAGAAGCTTCTGAGATAAGCTCTGCTACCAGCATTCAGGCACAGCTGTCAGCTGGGCCAGGCATGTGCAGTGATGGGGCTGGGGAGGAATATTCAAGTTTTTGTTGTGGAACAGGAACTTTGAGCTAAGACGTGGCACTTTTGAATTTAAATTTGCAATTGTGTTGATTCACAGATGACAAAGAAAATAAAAAAACTGGAAAAAGAGACACTATTATGGCGTACCAAATGGGAAAACAATAACAAAGCGCTTCTGCAGATGGCTGAAGAGGTGAGGTGGTTTCCCGTGACTAAGGTGTGTTCTTAGTCATGGGGACTCATACAGTTCAGGTATATGTTAGGGCAGGGGAATGTGTGGTGACAACAAGTGCTATAGTTCAGGGCTCTGGCCAGAGCCAGGTGGATTGCTGAGTGGAACCGGTCTGTGCTAGCTTTCCTGGCAGAAAGCTCACTTGTAGGTGTAGGGCCCGGCCTGCATGAAGCAATTTCCCTACTCCACAGTGCATTGTCAGAGAAGCTGGAAAGCATCTAGGTTTTGGTTTCGTGTAGTTTCTCAAACTTGAGCTTGCATCGACTCTAGCTTGCTTAGAGACAGACCCTGACTGCTAGGCTCCCGCTGAGTTTGATTCACTATGCCTGCTGTAGGTACAGGGCCCCCACCTCAAGCAGCACTGGTCAGCTTTCCCACCTTTCTGGTTTTTTACTTTTAAAAAATATATATTTTATTGAATTTAGAGTGTAAGGGAGAGGGAGAGATAGAAACATCAATGAGAATCACTGATCGGCTGCCTCTTGCATGCCCCCCCACTAGGGATTGAGCCCGCACGCCAGGCATGTGCCCTTGGCTGGAATCTCGAACCTGGGACCCTTCAGTCCTCAGGCTGATGCTCTATCCTTTGAGCCAAACCAGCTAGGGCCGGTTCCTTTCTGTTTTAACTTGGTCTTTTCAGAAAGGCTGTCTTCTAAAGCTGAAATGTATTGTTTACACACACTTGATTTTAAACCCCTCTCCTAAAAATTGGTAGAAAGGCAATCTATGCAAAAATGAGTCCTTTTCTGTTTTTAACCAGGCCCTTAATATTCATTTACTAGTTCGTGATGAATTTCCTGAAATGTCATCAATACAAATGGTTTTCTTTAATGATTTAAAGAATTTTTTATTTCAGAGAAGATATAGGGAAGGAGAAAAAGATCAATGATGAGAATCATTGATCACCACGCCCTTTACTGGGAATCAAGCCCACAACCCCGGCATATGGCCTGACTGGGAATTGAACTGTGACCTTAGTTCATAAGTCAATGCTCAACCATGCTGGCCAGGCCTACAAAGTGTTAGTGTTATTTTGGTTTTAAGAAACATGACAAAGGGAGTTGAATTTTGTTACCTTAAAACAATATTATATTACATAGCCTGTGGTATTCATACACTTATCTGCAGTGAAGCTAGCTAGAATGTTAGATGCTCGAAGAATTGAACATGTTCATGAGGTGATTAAACAAATACTTTCCAATGTGGCTCAGATTACTTAATTTCTGTGGTATCCAGTAACCCAATTCGTCTTCAGTGAGGTTATATATATCTTGTCTTTTTTCCCCCCCTACAGAAAACTGTCCGCGATAAAGAGTACAAGGCCTTTCAAATAAAACTGGAACGGTTAGAGAAGCTGTGCAGGGCTCTTCAGACGGAGAGGAATGAGCTCAACGAGAAGGTGGAAGTCCTAAAGGAGCAGGTCTCGGGGAAAGTGGCCGGTGCAAAACTAGCCCCACGCGTGACACAGCCCTGTGCAGCCCTGGCTTCTCCTAAGGAGCTGAACACTGCCTGGCACAGCGGTGCTCGAGTCCCCATGGTGGCCGTGCCCAAGGCAGCCAAGGAGAAGCCAGCCGCACACAAGGCCGCGTCGCTAGGCACTGGGCCAACCATCGAGTCCGTAGACTGAGATGAAGTACGATCACTGTCTTGAGAGCTCTATTTTGTGTATAACTTTCTCTGTTAGTAGTAACTATTGGTTTTGTGGTGAAAATTTTCTTACTTTTTCTACCATATCTGTATTTTCTTAGAACTACTGGACTTAGGTGGTACAAAAGGCTGCTTAGCGGTTTGAATAGTTTTCCTCAGCTGTGTGGCACATCTGCTTCGTCTCCCCTCATTGGGATGCATGTGGTCATTCGCCTTGTCCTTTCTTCACTGCTCCTCGCACAAAATCATACTCATTAAGATTTCACTCAAGACAGGACCGGCCATTCAGTACAAGAGAACTTTGTTCTGAGAATGGTTCCTTGATGTGAAAACAATAATTCATTTAAACATCCTGGGCCCCATCAATATTTAAAAAAAAAAAAAAATCCAAGATGATTAGTTTTAATAACCCATTTAAATGTCAAGTAAAAAACCCCTCTAGGGTTGGGACAGAAACAAACAGCGTATTTAATTCAAAATAGTTTTTTGCTAATATATCACTCGGCAAATGGAGGTGGCCATAGCCTCAAATTCCTCCAAGTTTTGGCAGACTATTGTCATGTAAACAATGCAGTATGTGCAGGCAAATAATTGGACAAACACGCTTACTGTATGTCACAGTCCTACTGCTTCCATTTCAAGTTAGTTAGAACCAGTGGTGAATTGGGACCACTCAGAAGCTTATGGGATAGGTGGTTTGTTTTCCATTTGGGTACACATCCTCCACTTCCCACAGAAAGCAGCTACTGATAGCCCTTTAAGACAACTTTCACCAAGCAGAAGTCCCTCCAGTACCTTCTGGCTGTTTGAAATTCGTGTTCAACTTTTAAAACAGTCCTATCAGCCAAGTTCTCCATTCAACTGAAACATTTCATTTCCAAAACAGAAAGACTGAAACTAACATTTTTAACTTTGGGAAAACTTAGCACAGTTAAGTCAGGATGTGGTAGGAATGCTTTCCATTTGTTTCTCACCCTTTTCTTACTGTTTTATTTTAAAAGAAAAACAGTATTATCAATGTCTCTACACTTGGGATGGGGGACTTTTGAAATTAAGCACATCATCATTGTTCTTTACAGTGTCAAATGTAGTAAATGATTACTAAGCTGCAGTTATTAAAGTTTTGATTTCCCTAATATAATTTGCATTGAAATTTTTGATGATAAGACTCCAATAGAACTAATGTTAGCAAATCCCACTGAGCAAAGCTACCAAACTGACACTTAAAATTGCTTACTGGACTGGATACACTCTTCGTTAACATTTTATTTGTAAAATCCTGTCACAATCATGGTCTAAACTGTATTAAAAGAATGAAAATTGTCCAGTAGGTAGAAAACAGCACCTGGAGTGGAGGATTAGATCTAAGCTTCCACCATCGGGCATATTAATCAAGGGACCAGATGGTGAAGGAAAAGAAATCCACAAAGTAGGTTATCTAATCACTCTGTCAAAATGAGTTGGAAACAAAAACAATCATCCCCTCCCTCAAACAGCCTCTTATAAATACCCCTGCCCGCCCTCTGCTTCTAATGAAATATTGGACTCATTTCCCAGGGAGGAAATGAAGGTATGTATATCAGAAATATCTACTTTAAAATTAGTACTAATCACATTTCACAAGAATTCTGCTGGATGTACAGCTCTTAATGTCTTAAGCCATTTGTGTAGCCCACCACGTCCCATTGTGGTGTTTGTGTGGAAGACTGTAAACCTTTGATCTGTTGCCTATTTTCAAGGGCTTTATAAAGCAATGTGATTAACAGTACCTGGCCTGCTGCTTCTGGCTTACTATGTATTTCTAGCTAGATGCTACCATGGTGTTTAAAGGACATTGATTCTGTCTTGGATGTATTTGATGTCCTTTCAGAATCTGTCCTCCCATTATCCTGTGAATAAAAACATGGGACCCTGCGAAGGACACTCTTAAAGCAGTCACCTCACCAGCCCAGTGTTGTGGCTTTGTAGCACGCTGTTGTACCTAATATATTCTAGAACACTGTACTGCTACTAGCTGGCCCAGAAAAGGGCTAAATAATGTCAAACTGACTTCAATCGCATTTGTTGCACCACCATGGAATCTAGTGTAGTTATAGTGGCAGTAGAGAAAACGGGCCATTTCATCCTGACGTGTAGGAGTATATTTCTTGGTCTTAAGACCAGTATTTTTAGTTATGTATGCAACTGCCTTTCTTATCAACACCTGGTTATCACACTTCAATTCTCAGGTGTTGCAGAAAAATCTACCTCTTTCAGACTGTAGATGGAAATAACTGTGAAAAATGCAGATATCTTCTAGTTTGTGCTAAACACACTGCTTTATTTTTACAGCCCACGTCTTTCATGAGGATACGAATTGTTGAGGCAGTCTTGTTTTGCTTTTCAAAGACATTTTGTAGAGATTTTTTCACTAATGTGAATCTGATTTTATCTACTCAATTCTGTATAGATTAAGTAAATATGTATGATAATTTAACAGCTTCTGTGTATTCTTTTGTTATCCACATGGTCATAATTTTATATAATAGCGAAGTCCAAAGAAAGTTATAGGTAGTTGATTTCTTGGGGTTTAAAAGTACTTTAATTATTGCACAATTTAAGCAAGAGATGGGGCACGGTTTATGCATTTCATGTAGCCAATCACTGTACCTTTTCGGTCTTGGCTACTTTCAGCACATTCCAGGGTGTACCTATTTAAATAACGGGACTAAATACATATATATATTTGTTACACACAGAGAGACACACAGGAAAGATCTTATAATGAGCTAAAAGTGAAGTCATAGTGGGCCACAAGGTTTTTGTCTAAACATTTAAAGGAATAAACGTAAAAATCATTACTAGCTGGCAGGCCTTACAATATAGGTTGAGGGGCCAATTTATAAGCTGGTTTTGTCCCCTCTGTAGATCCCTGACATGTAAGCAAACAAGCTTCCTTTCATTCTTTTGGGGGGGAAATCTATAGTGTTTAAAACTGTCAAAGTCAGAGCACAAACAGGATGCAGGTCAGATGACAGCTTAGGCAGTTCTCTAGGTTTACAAATCTACCAACCACAAAATAGCTTCTCCCACCTTTGGATTTAGGATACTATCTGTCATGCACTGTAGGAAGAAATTCAGGGAAAGCTCACAAGAAAGGGACACACACACACATACACACACTCTTCTCAATAAAGGGGACAGACAGACACACATCCCTACCCAGGTTCTAAAAGAATAAAACAAACTTTATTTTCAAACTTTATTTTCTGCAAAGCCAATCAACAAGTGTTGGAGGGGAAAAGTGTAAAAGTTATTCTTGCATATTTGGGAACAGCAAGCACTTAGTTTCAGAAAACAAGAACTTAAAATATTTGAATCAAAGGCAGTACCCTGCTACTTGTATTTTAAAACTGTCATGTTCTTAGCAACATTTCTTTCTTCCCTAAAAGCTACGATATGATACAGAACGCAATAGCTCACTTGAAAGTGCTAGAATCAGAAGGTAAAGAACGCCATATGCCATCCCACTTAACATTTCCTACTATACAATGCTTTTTTTTTTTTTTTTTTTTTTTTTTTTGCGCTTGATAAACCAAGCATTCATGTTAGCTTTACATTCAACAGAAACACTTCTCATACGAGTTTAAGATCCTTGCCCCTCCAGTTCCGAGGTTGTGACATCTGACTCTTCATCATTGTAAATATTTTCAGCCTGGAGATAACAACCAAATAAATTCATAGGTATAACTCCCCATGGTTTTTACAAGACTATCTAAAAATAGCATTTAATTATTCCAGATTTTTGGATTCATGGGGCAGTGTTTTTAGTGTTGGAAGTGGACACATCTTTAGAGTAGTTTAGTGGTTTTCCTTGTGTGTTCCCCACTCCTCCCAGCCCCCAACATTTAAATTTAATGAGGAAAGGCAGGCCAGTGGATAATTCCACATATACCCCTAGATATGCCCAAGCACCATTTAAATTATTGTTCATAAAAGGTGTTTCCCAAAAGCATTGCAAGCATCATTTAGAGGGAGTGATATCCGAGGTTTATGAGGGTTGGTTAAAACCTCACTGCTTCAGAGATGTCGGTCATATACTTAGTGCTAACCTTCAGAGTGCTCAGTACACTCGACATTTTCCTCCTCTATTCTTTTTTTAAATGTTATTTTTATTGATTTCAAAGAGGAAGGGAGGGAAAGAGAGAGAACATCAATGATTGAGAGGGAATCACTGATTGGCTGCCTCCTGAACACCCCCCTATTGGGGATTGAGCCCACAACCCGCGCATGTGCCCTTGGCTGGAATTGAACCTGGGACCCTTCAGTCCACAGGCCGACGCAAACTGGTTGGGGCTCCTCCTTTATTCTCCATGTGTATGACAACAGACACTGGGCATACAGCAGTGACGTCAAGAGCCCAGTTAAAAAGTAATCATGAAAATCAGAGCACATGCTGTGTCTACATCTGTTTATATACAGATACGTACAGAGATTTCTCCTAACTGGACAGATGAATATGTAACTAAAAATTGTCATTAAAATGGAGAAGGATTTTTAAAAATTATTCCCTTTTTATAAATATTTGGTACAATATACATCTAGGTTTTTGAAACATTTCTATTATATCAGTAAATCTCTCCTTTACAAGATAGCCATTTAAGAGAAAAAAATGTTTTAGCTCACCATTTGCCAGATCTGCATGATGTTGTCCTCAGACACCGAGCAAATGACCCATGGCTCATTGGGGTTCCAGCTGAAGTCTGATATCTTGGCGGTGTGTCCTCCATGAATAAACTGTCAATAGGAACAACAAAAAAAGCCTTGGTTTCTTATCTTTTGCTAGAGCATCAGTCTTGCACCAGCAGGGGTGGGTGTCACTGCCCTGCAGTTTGGAGGGAAGGCACAGGCTTAGCACACCACCACATAAACCTCAACCTTCAAGGAGCTGCCAAGATAATTTGCTCAGGAACAGGAGGGAGATGGGCACTATTGGCATCAAGGTTAGTTTCTAGGCAGGGAACTTAAAAATCCAGTCATTAAACATTTTCCCCACTGTTAGTGTTAAGGGTTTCTAATTGAATATCTGCTACCCCCAAAAATCCCTCAAATATTACAATTGAAATCAATAAAGAGTTACTATATACTGTTTCCCAGGAGCTTGAATTATTCTTAATGAAACATTGGCCAAAACCTACTGGGCTCTATTTCCTATTTTCAATAAATGTCAAACCCCAATTACAACAACCTCCAAGACCTCCAATTGGAAACTAAGAACTAGAATTTGAAGTTTTGACTCAGATTCTATATACATGGGATCAATGATAGAATCCAATCTGCATGTGACATTTCATCTTGCATAAGAAAGCCAACATATACCAGGAGTTCAGGAGGCCCATCTTCCGCATCTTCTGCTGATTGTTCTTCTCCAATTTTGCTATTAAGAAAGAGCATAATGCTTTTGTTATTGAAATTCTTTCAGCATGAATGTTTGCAAAACCATTGTCAGCCCAGAAAGCGCATCTTAAAGCACACAATGGAAAAAACATTTCTATGCTGCTATCAATTAGTTTTTATAGTATTTGGTGGGAAAGTGGATTGTTTTTCTGGAAATGGGTAAGAGCTATTCATAATTGAAGCTGCAGAATATAATTTGTTAATATTAAAATTCATAATTTTCATTGTAGTGTTTACTACATTAGAATTAAAAGGTGAAAAGCATGTAAGAAGCTACACTTCACTCTTAAAGCCTTTTTCATTCCAGAAGTGAGAAATAATGACACATCAGTACCACATATCTGAAGAAATGACAACAAAGCAACTTTATGGAACGTATAAGCCAAGGAAAAGTTAAGTTCCCCCTCCCTCTCTTAAAACTTTCAATTTGTAGCCGAGACCGGTTTGGCTCAATGGATAGAGCGTCGGCTTGGGGACTGAAGGGACCCGGGTTCGATTCCGGTCAAGGGCATGTACCTTGGTTGCGGGCATATCCCCAGTAGGGGGTGTGCAAGAGGCAGCTGATCGATGACTCTCTCTCATCGATGTTTCTAACTATCTCTCTCCCTTCCTCTCTGTACAAAATCAATAAAATATATTTAAAAAAAAACACAAAACTTTCAATTTGTAGAAAATGCCAACAGCCCCAATAGTGAAATCACTCTTAAGTGACAGACCACTTATCTAGCCCAAAGGTAGACTTTGTTAATAGAAACTGCTGGGGAAAAACACACAACCTTCTAAGGGGTATTTTTTTCCTTCCCATAAAACCAAGCAAACTAACCAAACATGTGGGCCTGCTAGACAATTGTTTCTCCTCTCCCTATCAAGAGTATAATTGCTAAAACTGACCACTTTAATCTGTAATTTTATCTAATGTAATGTTAACAGTAAACAAGTCATACATGAATTTTAAGAAGAAATTATACAATTTATTCTTGGCACTTTTAGGGATAATCCAGTTGCCAGGGTAGCAGACTTCTAAACCTTGCTGTAGCACCTCATACAATCAGTATATATTTTTGTTTTATGTTTCTAATTTTACTACTAAAATTGTTCTCAAACATACTCAAATAACAATGACAGCATTTTATGCTGCACTATCTGTTCCGTACACTGAAGGATGGGGCTGCTGCCTCGTATTAAGGCAGGTTTGGTTTTAATACACTAAAAACTCAGTCCACTTTAACACAACACATTTACTACAGGCAGGAATAAAGCTATTCTTTGGTCATTGAATGGCCACTCTGAGGTCAAGAACTTTAAAAAATGAAAACTATACAGTGCTCTGTGCTCTAAGAAGAACATAAACTCTCGACAGCATGAGCTATGCTTATCCTGTCACTAAGTATATCCCCAGCAGTTACACAACCCACAGAAGCTCATCTGCCCGTTGAATCGACGAAAGCAGAGAAGAGCAAATGGCAGAGTCTCTGAGAAAGACTAGTCCTGCAGATGTGAGATCCCATGAGATGTTACAACACAAAAATGCACACCTCCCTCAACTTTAATCCTGAATATCAATAAAAAAATAAAACACTGCCTAAATTTATTTTAAAACTCATTTGCTGATTTGCTTATGTCTTATAGAACAAAGGTTCTTCAGGAAGGTACTTTAACATTAGACTCATTAAACTGGGGTTAGCAAACTGCTCTTCTACATTTATAAATTACATAATCTTAGATTAGCATATTTATATGCAGTTTCTCATCATCAGGTTCTGAGTTACCTTAAATCCCACACATTCAGGCGGCGATCAGTACCACTTGAAGCCAGAATAGTTTCGTTATGTGGAGACCAGTGGACCTAGCAATACATATTTGAAAATGTAAAAAGTCACCCATTCTAACGTTTGTGGACACTGTCTTAATCCTCACCATTTTCCCATGATGTGTTCTGTATCCTCTCCTTGGCCTACAGCCCTCACCCTTCTTGTCCAATCCTTCCAAGTGCTCTTACATGGCCCATATCCCTGGCCTGCCTCCAGGAAGGATGCATTCCTCAATACAAGGGAATTCAGCTAGGAGCCCAGTAATCTTATTCAGCCCCATAATTATCCCAAACTTTTAAATTTTTCATACAAGAAACTATTTCACTGGAGGAGCCACCATGCTGACATACCTCAACTAAAGAATCCTTGGATTTCACTCTTTAAGCTTATCTGTTTTGTAAAACTTTTTCTTCTACTTATGAACTAACAGTCTTTCAAAAAGCTCCAAGTTATTTATTTCCCACTAGTTAACTTACACAGAAGAGGAACTTTTTTTTTAAAAAAAAAGTAACATTCCATACCCATGATATAAAAGAAGAAAAAATTTTAATTCCCCCCGCCAAAAAGTTACTAAAACCTGACAAAGATACCAGAAAACTGTAACGTACCTGGAAAATTTCATCTTTATGAGATTCAAAGGTATGGAGCTTTAGTTTCAAATTACGCAGATCCCATAAAGCTACAGTCTGAAGAAAAACAAGTAAAAAGGAATTCATTTTTGCATTTTCCGTAAGAATTTTAAAATGTCTGATAACCGTACAAAACAACTGGGTTATATGCAAAAACATAAAAACCTTATCTGCAGAGCCAGTTGCGAGAATGAACTCGCTGTAGGGATTGAATGACAGGCAATTGACTTCAGCAGTGTGTGCATCCACCAGGTGGCTTGGCTTGGAGGTGGTATTGGATCTGGTGTCCCATCTAAAACACAAAGTTACGAGGCTCACAAGGAGGCCACTCGACTCTCCCCAACTTCTCCCTCAAGCTCATTTCCTCATCAACTCCACATCACCTCTACACTTGCCCCTTCAGATACCAACCACACCTAGAATTGGCAATTTAGACTTCCAACCGCTAAGTGATATGTTCTAACCCTATGGAGAATAAACTAGGGCCGTTATTTTTGGTTTCTCATTTATTACATTTCTGTCTTAATTTACCAAGCATACACAAAATATTGACAAAGCAGACAACATAACAATTTGATACCTAAAACCCAGACTTGCCTAATTTCAGTATTTTGCCTTATTTACCTCCTGCAATGGTTCCTTTGAGATAAAAAGCATTCTAGATTGTTGAATGCAGCCCTGTGGCCATTCCCTGATATAATCATTCTCCTCCCTCATCTTCAAAAGTCACCCTGATCTCAATTTTGATATTTATCTCCATACCAAGCATGTTTGAGCTGTTTCTTTCTTTCTTAAAAGCCAGTTCGTATTTTTTTTTTTTTTAAAAGGAATTAAACCACAGGCCACCACAATCACTGATGGTCATTCAGGACACCCTACACCGCCACCCACTGAACTTTCAACCTTACATCATAAGCTTCTGATCATCAGCAACAGATCCAAACAGTGACTCGTGCAGCAGGTGCCAGGCCACATCCTCAACAACAGCCGAGTGGCCAGTAAAGATGGCTTTAGCATCCACAATTTTGCCTTCCTTTGGTCCAGCATTTATATCCCACAGACAGACAGTCTAAAGAAGGGGGGGGGATACACATAGAAGCCATTAAAGATTGAATTTAAATGCTAATATCTTATTTAAAATAACTTCATTAGAAACAAAACTATCTATATATAAAAGCCTAAGCGACTGTTAGGACCGAACAACCAGAATGACTAGTCAACCAGTCACTATGATGCGCACTGACCACCAGGGGGCAGACACTCAATGCAGGACCTGCCCCCTGGTGGTCAGTGTGCTCCCAGAGCCAGCCAATCTCCCTTGGTCCCTCCCCACAGCCGGCAAACCTCTCAAGGCCCCTCCCCACCACTGGCAGGCCCTGCCTGGCAGTCGGCCAGCTCCACCTGACAGCAGCCAGCAGGCCCCAGCTGGCCCGGCCCCTATCGACAGCCAGGCCTAGGGACCCCACCCATGCAAGGATTTTGAGCACTAGATCTCTAGATTAACTCTATGAACGTTAGAAACAAACACGAGGGAGTGCAATATAAACCGAAGTGAAGTTTCATGAACAATAGCATGTATAGGTGTAGATTTTATGATCCGAGAAGCAAAGGGCAAATAAAATACACTGTAATAGAGGCATGCATGGGGAGACCAGCACATTGACAGGCCAGAAACACTCGGATTAGAATTTCTACCAATATATAGCCAAGCATCTTAAATTCATCTAGGCTAGATTATAGAACACTGAGAACGCAGCATTTGGTATCCGCTGAACAGATGTGCATGTCCTAAATGTTCATGCTAAGTTGGGAGGCTGGTAATTGAAACGAAAACATGCCTAAATAAAAGGCAAAAGTCTCTGAACAAGCCCCTCATGGGAGGAACCACTGCAGACATCGGAAGTACAACTGAATGACCCAGTAAGCTCTAATAGGCTGAGAGGCCAGAGCTTGGGGCCTGCAGACACGACCCCTTGGCATGCTCTGCAAGCCCAAGGAGGCCATGGGGCCAGTAGGCTCTTGAAGATTAGTCTTCTTTTGATATACCAACACACAAAAAATTAACAGGAAAGTCTTAAGCTTTATGAAAAACAAACACACACACACACAAAAACAAAACTACAAGCTATAGGACACTGATTTTCATCCAACTGTGTAAAATATGAGGTAATTCCATTAAGGTATGTTCAAACTAATTCCACTGACACTGGTAATGGTTTAATTTGTTTTTAAATCACTTTCTTGTCTGAAAGGGTTTCTGTAATTAAGCAATTTCCCAGAAGTAACAGCTATTTTCCAAGTAACAAAAAATTAGTACTCGTGCCCTTAGTTTGTTGATACACACTGGGCCAATTAACTACTTTCAGTATTTTATTTTTATTTTTTAAAATATATTTTGATATTTTACAGAGAGGAAAAGAGAGGGATAGAGAGTTAGAAACATCGATGAGAGAGAGTCATTGATCAGCTGCCTCTTGCACACCCCCACTGGGGCTGTGCCCGCAACCAAGGTACATGCCCTTGACCGGAATCGAACCCAGGACCTTTCAGTCCGCAGGATGACGCTGTATCCACTGAGCCAAACCGGTTTCGGCTACTTTCAGTATTTTAAAAAGCCTAACAGAAACTACAATCAAAGAAATATAAAGATCTGTGATGTGACAGACCCTGTTCTAGGTACTGGGATATACTAAGGAAGACAAGAAATGTACTCTCAAAAAGCTGACAAAGTGCGGCCAAATTACATGAGCTCCAGAAGTGTCGGAGCTTCTGGTTGGAGTCATCCCAAACACTTTCTGCTTATAGTATGGAATCCATAAAGATATGGGGCCGTTAAGTGGCATGAATGCTACAAACATTGATCTACAATACACTAATGAGATCTCTTTGCAGTTGTATGGTACTTTTAATTGTTAAAACAATTTATAATAAGAATGTTGAAGTAACTCAACAGGGAAAGATTTGTGGTGGGAAAACTGGATATCCATATGCAGAGAATGAAGTTGGACTCCTACCTCACACTATATATAAAAATTAACTCAAGATGGATCAAAGAACTAAATGTAAGAGTTAAAGTAAGTCTTAGAAAACATTGGTATAAATTTTTTTGATGCTGGGTTATATATGGTTTCTTAAGATACAATGCCAAAAGCATAAATGACAAAATAAAATACATAAACTGGGCTAAAAATTACTTTTGTGTTTCAAAGAACATCATCAAAAAAGTGAAAAGACAAGCCATAGAATGGGAGAACATTTTCTGAAATCATATATCTGATAAATCATGTATCTATTTAGACTATACAAAGAACCCTTACAATTCAACAATTAAAACCTCCCACAAAACTTAGCAATGGACAAAGGACTTAAATACTCATTTTCCCCAAGATACACAAGTGGCCCATAAGCACATGAAAAGATATTCATCATTAGTTGTCAGGGAAATGTAAATCAAAACCGCAATGAGATACCACTTCACACCCACTAGGATGGCTATAATAAAAAAGACAGACAATAACAAGTGTTGGTGAGGGCATGGAGAAACTAGAACCCTGGTACATTGCTGGTGGGAATGTGAAGTGGTGCAGCTGCTTTGTAAAACAATTTGGCAGTTCTTCAATAAGTTAAACATAGAGTTACCATATGATCCAGTAATTCCACTCTTAGGTAATTAGCCAAGAGAAATTAAAACACATGTCCACACAAAACTTGTACAGAAATGTTCACAGCAACAGGATTCAAAATAGCTCCAAAGTGGAAGAAAGCCAAATGTCTAACTGATAAGTGAATAAAACTATAGTATATCATTATGATGAAATATTACTCAGCTATAAAAATGGGGTACTGACATATGCTTCAACACAGATGACATTATGCTAAGTGAAGGAAGCCAAACATAAATCGCCACATATATTATGATTACATTTGTATGAAATATTAAGGAGAGACAAATCTACAGAGATAGAAAATAAATTAATAGTTTCCAGGAGCTATGCGAAGGAGGGACTGAGGAAAGACTGCTAATGGGTATGAAGTTTCTTTTTGTGACATTTTATGAAGATATTTTTGAATTATATAGTGATGATTTCACAGATTTGTAAATACACTAAATCCCACAGAACTGTACACAAACAGAAAACAAAATAAAATGTTATTTATATTATTCAGGCCTCACAGATACTTCATAGTTTCTATTACACGAGTAGAGTAGAAAGAATAGGTTTCTTACATGGTCGTCAGATGCACTTAGCAGATGTCCACTCAAATTAGAATTCCAGGAAAGACCGTAGCCTTCCTTCTGGTGGCCTCTCAGCCTAAGATCAGGATTACACTCTCCACTTGGGTCTAAAGAAAAGAAGAAATACATTAACTACCAATTACTGGTTTACTGGAATTGGTAAAAGCAAAGCCTCACCTGAGTGAGCCATAACATTTATTTATGCTTGGAATAGCACTGCATACACACAAGGACTTAGTCTGACCCAAAGTTGCCTTGGAAAGCTATTGTGTGTGCTTCATTCCAAATTTTCAACACAAACCAGGTCTCACACTAATAAAACAACCGGTTCCTTTGCAAAGCCTAGTACTAGTTCTAACACAAAATACTGAAAACTATAGCTATTCTACAAATTTGTGCAATGACAAACCGCCTCACCTCTGGGTCAGTTTAAAAAAAATTTTTTATAAGGAAAGAGATAACACAGCAGGTCTGGTTGCTCAGTCCTTGCATATATCTGGGATAGCCTGTAACCATGACTGACCCTTAGCCAGCTCCTGGGAATGTGACTCTCACAAAATTATTCATGTCACTAAGAACTAAGTTTTATAAGCCCAGAGCAGTAGGGCATGCAGTGGCAGCGTGTTAAGACTTGTAGGATTGTTTAGCAAGATTCATGATTATTACCACTGCTGGGGTCCTGACTTTCCCGTACCGTGACTGGTCATAAAGCGAGATGTGCCTACGTAACCAGATCTCCATAAAAACTCCAGATCCTGAGACTCAAAGGGGCTTCCCTGGGCAGAGACATTAGCACGTACCCCTGTCGTTTGCTGCTACAGAGAATGCATGCTCTCTGTGGCCACAGCAGGGAAGGACTCAGGAGCCTATATGCCTGCCCTCTGCAAACTATGCCTGACCTATATCTATTTCCTCCTGCTTTTGCTCTATAGAGTTTGCTGCCAGGAGTCAAATCTGCTGCGAGGTCCTTCTGTTAAATCACTGAAATCAAGCGTGGTTATTGGACCTACAAAACCATTTTTAAACCTTGAAAAATTGTAGTGTAGACTAGTTTGAATGACTTCAAAGCAGTTATTTGGAATCAAGCAAGAATGGTCAAGCAATGGCTTGGCTTTTACCTGGTTTAGCAGGGTGCTTTGTATAGTCAAAAACCAGCACGTCAGAAGATGGTGTCTTTGTAGCGATGATGTGAGGATTCTGCGGCATGTAACGAGCACGGTTTACTTCGCCTTCGTGATTGATTTTAATTTCACATTCAATTTTTCCTGTTACAGAACCAAAGCCACCAAATTCTAATGTGAGAAGAAAGAAATAAACACATACACTCACAGTTAAAGTCCACCAATCGATTTAATCAACCCAGTAGATTTTAATTTGACAGACTACAACTCAAATTGGTGCGAGCGAACACCAAAGTATTGGTTCACGTGCCACTTGGAATTAATTTCTTCTCAAAGTCCATTTGCGTTAGAAATATTGAGAGCTGTTTTATGCAAGTTAATTCAGCTCCACCTTGGATCCAAAACAATTAAAAATTGCCCTCTTTCACTTCTGAAGATGATATACTTATTCACTAAAATGTAAATAACTACATAATAAACACACTTCAGCTTTTTAGTGCAAGTACGACTAACTCAGAAGTGCTGCAGTGAATGACCATTCTAGGTTTCATCAAGACAGGGAAGGTTTCACCCACAGGAGTATAAACACTCCTGAGTCTAAAGTAAAAAAATATCCTCAAATAGGATATCCATACCTACTAGTTGCCAACCAGATCTAAGGAACACATACATGCTAGTTCTACCAGCATACTTGGTTCAACTGCGAGCAGAATGCCGACACTAAAACGAGGGAGCTTAACCTTTCTATCTGATGTGGGGATAAGACCATAATGTGAAATGGTTATATAAAGGCCCTAGAAAAATAACAAAGCCACATAAGAACTAATGTAATGTCTGGGAAACAGCAAGATGATAGCAGCAAGAATAAAAGTAGAGAACAGGTAAGCAGATAATAGCGACCAAGAACATTTTCTTTTTTTTGTATTCATAGATAAAAACTTGAATTAGTTGCTGACACCAGAAGTTCGGGGAGGCTTCACATTATAATTGTTATTTTTCCCTGACGTATCTTGCTGCTTCTGTGCACATTCCTTTTCAGCTCACCGTGTCTCTCGTCAAGAGAATACTCAAATGCCCAATGGAGCCAGGCAGGTAAAGTCAAACAGCCTGGGTGGGACCCGGTGAACACACACTGAGAGCAGTAACCATTTCTCAGTTTCAGCCAGCTTTTTCGATGTGGGAATGTTTCATGAACACCAGCTCCCATGGCTTCATACCAGAATTTAGCCACTCTTCTCCACAGCAAATGTTAGCTTCCTATTTCTGTGTAGCTGAAAATCATCTCCCATTCTACCAACTCCTCCTCTCACACAACCACATGAGACCCCCTCTTTCATTCACTCTCCGCATTTCCCTGCCCATCGTGTCAATGGAAGAAATGTGCCAAAGAACTTACCATTTGCACAGCATGGATGGACCTGGAGAGCCTTATGCTAAGCAAAATAAACCAGTCAAAGAAAGATCACACAATCTCACTCATATGTGGAATCGAATGAACAACATAAATTTATGAACATAGAGACATAGAAGCATCGAACAGACTGTCAAACCTCAGAGGGAAGGCAGGGGAGGGTGTGGGTGGAAAGAGACCAACCAATGAACTTTAATGCATATATGCTTAACCCATGGACACTGACAGCAATGTGGTGAAGGCCTGGGGCAGGCTAGGAGAGGTCAACGGAGAAAAAGGGGACATATGTAATAACTTTCAACAATAAAGATTTAAAAAAAGGGAAAAGTGCCTCCCCTTTCCTAAGACTATCTCTCCAGATTACTTTACCTCTTATCTCCTGAGAACCTGTTCTAAACCTGCCCCTTCCCTCATGGACTCCAAGGGTTCCTTCTAACCTTTCTCCTATCAAGATATTCAAGTTTACTAGCTCCTTTAGATACACTCCAACTGCCTCTAAGAAGAATGAATAACCTAATGTTTAATCACAATGGAATACTATACAGCAATTAAAATAATAAGATAGACATCTACATGATATACATTAAAAAATAATATTGAATGGCCTGGCCGGATGGCTCAGTTGGTTGGAGCATTGTCCAATACATAAAAAAGGTTGTGGGTTTGATCACCAGTCGGGACACACACTGGAGGCAACCAATTGGTATTTCTCTCTCCCCCCGTTCATCTCTAAGTAAAATTAATAAACATATCTTCAAGTGAGAATTAAAAAATATCTGTTCTTAAAAATATTAAATGAAAAAAAGCAAGCTGCAAAAGAAGATTATGCGTATTTACTACCGCATAAGTAATAAAAATATCAACAGTTGAAAATGGCACACTAATTTCAGGACAGCGAATTCTGGAGAGGGAGGAATGGAGTGCGGGTGATGGGACTTGAGCTGTAATGCACTATTCACTGAGACAAGAACCTAAAGCAAGAACTAGGAAATGGTAAACTATTAAATCATTTGAGGCTGTGCAGTAAGCAACAGGTCTGGTTGCTTAATCCTCAGAGCTGTGAGGGACACTGGGACCATGACTGACCCTTCGCTGAGTCCTGGGAACATGCATCTAAGAATGTTCTCAGTGTCACTGATGGGTTGATGATTTTTGTAGTGTACATCTGGTTCAATGGATTGTGCCGTACCAGTTTGTCAGGGCTGCTGCGCACAAATATCAACATTGACGATACGCTCCTGGTTTCATGACTGGGGTCCCGAGTTTCAGTGTCATGGCTGGCTGCCTGCAGGACAGGATGTGCCTATGAAACCGGCCCCCCATGAGAGCCTCAGACCTTGTCATTAGAATGGGTTTTCCTGGGCAGACACTGCTCGTTTCCCTGTCGTTTGCTGCCAGAGAGAAAGCACATCCTGTGCAGCCCTAAAGGAGACTTGTAACAGACCTCCCTGGACTCCCTGATGCATATCTTGTTCCCGTCCTGCTGCTTCTGTTCTGTACTGTTTATTGTAACAAACTTTAGCCATGAGTATAATTTGTTCTCACGTCTTGTGAGTCTTCCCAGCAAAAGCACCAGAACTTGCTTGGAACTTGGGTGGTCAGGGGGATATCAAAGCAGGGGAATGTATGTTCGGAGGGAAAAAACCACCAATGAAGTCAATAGTTTCCATAAGAACCCTCACTATGAACTGATTTAACTGGTATGTATGCCTCCTGCCTTTTTCTATGCACCCAGTCACCCGGTTTATCTTGGACACTTTTCCATACCGGTGCAGACAGATTTATCTCATTTTTAGAATTACTGCACAATATTTCAAACATGCACCCTACTGTGTTTTATTTCCTATGAACTACTGTCTGGGTTGTTTTGCTCGGGTGATCCTAATATTTCTGTCAACCCTACAAATAATGCTACTGTGGAATCTTTGTGCGCCTGTGGCAAGAAGTTCCGTAGAATAGAGTCCTAGGAGTTAAACTACTGGACCAAAAGAGATTAGTACAAAGTTTTACTAGCATGTAATTGGAAAAAGGCTTAAGACAGCAATACTGGAATGTATGGTATACCTACCACCCTTTTCGCTGTCACAGTGGGAAGCATCAAACTGTGCATCATCATTCGGAATATGGACTCGAGCAACCACGAGATGATTCTGCTCATCAGACGTGTGAGTCCCCAGCACTAGCCAGTGAAGGGCATAATCCTTTCCTTCTGGTCTGTTTGGAGAAGAAAATAAGTCACACTAATCCTTCCTATAAGAAATCAGTTGTCTCAACAATAAAGATAAAATTGAAAACATAATTTAATTCAGTTAATCCCTGATCCCTGTACTACTAAATAATGAGTTCTCACCTAAAAAATACCTCCCACTTTAACACACTACATGTTTCTGATTTCCCAATAAGAGGCAACAAGGTAAGAATGGAAAGAGTAAGGTGTTGGGTCAAGAAACTGGGTTTAAGTCCTGGCTCAAACTAAAATTAGCTATACGCAGTTTCTTAAATCACAACTTCCCCGTGGACCTCAGTTTCTTCACTTAAACAGATTATAAGTGCAAATGGCATGATGTGAAAACCCCCTATTTACATTTATGGTGCTAAAGTTTATGAAATGGCCTTCTCAATTTTACAGGGTGTGTGTGTGTGTGTGTGTGTGTGTGTGTGTGTCTTTATTGCCTACTTCTATGGAAACCGATTTGAGGCTAAAGAACTCTTGGCACTTTGGTCCAAACGGTGATTTTTGCATCTGCATCTATTAACAATGGCTTTCCCCTTTGTATATCTGAATAGCAATTTCACCAGTGTCCCTTAGTTCCACTTCAGTGAGGAGGGCTGAGAAGTAGGGCTCTGGGCCCCAATACTAGACATGGTAAGCTATTTATCTGTTTCTCAAACTTCAGTTGTACAAAGGATTTAGTTTATATTTAAAAAAAAGGTTTGCCTGGCCCGCATGGCTCAGTGGTTGCCTGCTGACCTATGAACCAGGAGGTCACAGTTCAAGTCCCAGTGTAGAGGCATGCGAAGGCAACCCACAGATGATTCTCTTATCATTAATGTTTCTCTCTCTCTCTTCCTCTCTGAAATAAATAAAAATATATTTTAAGAAAGGATTGAGAGTTACTTTTAGGCATGTAATTTAGTAATAATTAAAAAATACAAAACGAAATTTTACCAAAATATGTCTTAAAGTTAAAAAAAATACAATAAATATGCACATAACTCCAAGAACAGAATAAGGTGGCCACAGCCAAGTAATAGCAGCTTGCTGGAAAAAAGACATGAATCTTAGTTGATGTATGCTTAGTGGCCAAAAATATGAAGCAGTCATCAAGAGGGAAAAATGGGGGGAGTGGTGGGCGTTTGTACTACTCTCAGCAATAAAAATTTAAAAAAGGGAAATTAATTCCACTTTAGAGGAACCTATATGGGGAGGGGGGAGGCAATGCGCATGACCATTCACCCACTTATTTTTTTGCTGGAAAAACCACCTTGGAAAATTAGGCTGTAGGCAATGTACTTTAGGAGGACTTAGATAAAATGAAGCCTCTACAGGGAATAGCAGCTCAACATGAAAAGCAAATTAAACATATCTCACCAGAACCACTTGAAAATAAATAGGAATGCTTGAAAAGGAGGCACCAAAGAGCAATGTTAACGCTGACATTAAAAAAAAAATAAAGGAAGCGATTTGTTTTTTTTTATGGGGCTAAGCAGAAAAACGAAAACAACAGGTAAAAGTTCCATCACAGGACCTTTCTAAGGAGCACAGCTCCAGGATGGCGTGGAGGACCTGAAAAAGTTCTTTGGACTCTAAAGCTCAATGATTCTGGTTTCCCAACTCAATCATAATACTGGGATTTTTCTTTTTACTGCAAATCTTCTCATCTCCCATTCTTAAAATACGAGCCTATTTCCCCCAGCCAGTTATTATTATGCTATATCCCTCCAATACAGGATACACCTAAGGCTGCAGAAGACTAATGAGTAGCCAACATTCCCATTGCTTTGTATAGGGACAAAATACAATCACAGCCCCTTCATACCCCAAACAGAACCCTGCAGAGCACACACAGCCATGCTTGCAGGCTGGCTGGCATTTTCCTGCATTCCCAGAGCTACTGCAGGTCCCACAGCCAGATTCTACTTCTACGTATGCAAAAACCACTAGGGAACATAGTCTTTTCCTGCTAAGTTCTTACTTACATAAAATCAATATCTGGGATAAAAACATATGCATCTAGTATCTTTACAAAATATTTACACAGAACACATTATAGGTATCATTTTAAAAAGACTTCAGTAAGCGGATTTCACTGAAATCCAAATGGAGAAACAATTATTCTATCCTAACAAATTATTTCTGAATAGGAAGGGGCGGGAGAACCAGCATCAGTCACCATTACTAGGTACCTTACTCTGCACCAGCACTTTAACATGCACAATTTTATTGAATTCTCTCAAAAGCAGGCAGTCAGCATGATCAACACCTCCATTACCAGACCAGACAACGGGAACAGAAACTACCCAACTTACACTAATTCCCAAAACTACTAAGAAGCAGGGGGCAGGATTCAAACTTAGGTTTGTCATCAAAACCCCAACTTTTCTAGAGTTTGATTAATCCTCATTGAAGTATATGCTCATAATACCAAAGTTTAATGCACTTCTAAGTACATGTCCAAGTTCCTACTAGAAAAAAAGTCCAAATAAGTGAGAAAGGTAGTCTAGTGCAGGGATTGCCTCAACTCTGGGGCTATATGTTTTGGTTTTAAAAGTGCCCTTCACCGCTAGCCACCTGTGTGATCTCAGGCATGTTATTTAATATATTAGCCTCCAATTCCACATCAGTAAAATAATGTAAGAAGTACTAATCCAAAGTACTTTTTTTTTTGCTTGAAATTTGTTTTTTTAATTTTTTTCATTTAAAGTATTACATATAGCAGTACATATATATCCTTTTACTTGTTTTTAATAGTAAGCAAAAAAATAAGACATAAAACTCTATAGATGGGTCAGGCTCTGCTCTAAGAGCTTAATAAATGTCAGCAATTACTACCAGAGAAATTTTAGAAACGGCTGGAAAGAACGCTCTCATGAAGACCAACAGTGACCTCAAAGTGTGTTTCATACTATAAGCCAATACCACTTTTTCGGCGAACTGCTGCTGAATTCTTTTTTCCTTTTGCCAATTCAAATATATTCATTTTGGGGGCTGGTTGCTTTGTAAAAAAATTCATCAAGCCATATGCTTATGATTTGTGCATTTCTCTGTACATGATATTTTTCAATAAAGTTGAAAAGAAACCCATCCCTCTGGGCTCAGAAATGCTGTTCTATATTTAAGCCCAAGAAATGTCAAGTGTATCTGCTGCTTCCTACAAACGTGAATCTCACGACGGAGTCTCCTATTTTAATATCATACTTACCCCTCAGGAATGATCCCATAAAATCATTTAAGTTAGTGTTGACAATAAGTCACCTGTCCCCTCACCCAAGGGCTAGACTGATTACCCGCTTACGTTCTATGTATACCGTTCCCAAAGAAGGAGAGTCAGGACAACCGTTCAATTTGTGCAAAATAAGTTGCCAGGAACCCTTACTTAGTCACTTCAGGAAGCCACTGAACCGTAAGACTGGGCCACTGAAGAGCATGGGTCATAACCAGGTCATACAGAAATGGCGTGTTCTTCTTCCAGATCTTATATTCTTCGTTGATGACCCGCTCCTCCACAGTATCTTCGAACACTGGAATTTGGAGAAAGGAAGTGGCTAAGAGGGATCGAAGTCAGAATCTGCGCCCGGGAGGACCCTGGAGGTCACCTCGAGATGGCCACACCTCGCCTCTACTTTCTCGTGGCGTCGAATTTGAACGCGGGCAACTAACCGCCCCTGCAGAGCGTGCGGAGAATCGGAACACCAGGAAGCGGATTTTTTTTTTTTTTTTTTTTGCACTTTGCGATCAATGCCGCCTGCGCACACAGACCTGGGGAAGGAATCGCACGCACATCCAAAGTGCTGTGCTGGCTGCAGCTATTCGCGCCTGTTCTGAGATGACGACCCCTAAGTAGAGGGGCTCTGCGACCCACCCGGGGAGCCAAATCCACGTGCGGCGCAAAGCCAGCGACCCGCTCCCCCCCTCCCCCCACCGAGCGAGGCCTCCGCTGCCACGAAGCCGCCGCGGGCAGCCATAGGCCGGCGGCTTCCAGAATCCCCCCCGGACGGACGGGGGCCGCGACCCCGAGGCGCTTGGCGCGCGCGCGTGAAAGCGGCCGCTGTGCTCGCTTTCGGGCAGCGAAGGCCGCCTCCGCTGGGGGGGGAGGGGGGGAGGCGCCGGAGGGAGCGCCGTAGCCGGAGGGGGTGGGGGGGTGGGGGAGGGAAGGGGCTCAACTCGCGGCCCCGCACGGGGCTCCGGAAGTGCTTGGAGCCCGGAGCGCTCACAGCCGCGTCCCGCGGAGGCCCCCGAGGGCGCGCGCCCAGCCCGGCGCCGGCCCCGCCCCCTGCCCCGCACGCCAGTTCGCGCCTTTCTCCGGCGCGTGCCGCGGCCTCGCGCGCCCGCCGCCCCCCGCCGCCCCGGCGCGCGCCGCCCCGCGGGGCCTCTTACTCTCTTTACTCGCCATCTTGCGTCGGGTCGTTCGCCCCTGGCCGCCGCCTCAGACTCCCCTCTCCGGTACAGAGCAGCCCAACCGCAGGCGCTCCTGCCTCTCTCCGGCGCGCCGCACGCTCGTCGCTTTCGAAGCCCGAGCTGTGCCTCGAGGCCTGGGGGCTCCCCAGACGCCGCGTCCTCCTCAGCCGCCTCCTCCCCGCTCGCGGGTACCGAGGACTGAGGCGCTCTCCTCTCTCTCCAAACTTGGAACGAGACTTTTCAACCCGCGCCTTCCAGCCCGCCCAGGCAGCTGAGCGCAGGCGCATCCGCTCTGGGAAAAGTAAGAGGCGGCGAGGGGGCGGGCCTGGGAGCCGACGGCCTGTGCGTCTCCGCCAATAGCGTGCGGCGGGCAGGCTTCACGCGGCGTTCGGAGGCGGGCTTCTGGCGGGTGGGCGGGGCGTCGCGCGGCAGGAAGTCGGCGGGGCGCAGGCGCGAGGACTCGCCCGACGCTCCCAGGGCTGGGCGCGGGGGCGGAAGGGGGTGCGCGGGGGTGGGGCGAGTGGTGGCTCAGCTTGCAAGTTGCGCGGGGGCTGGGAGCCCCCGGAGGCGAGCCCTGGAGCCGCGGGGCGTGGCTGTTCGCCGCCGCAGCTCGAGCGGGGGAGGGTGGGGGTGGGGGGTGGGGGTGGGGGCAGGGAGGCTGCCGCCACTTACTTAGCTAAGCAAAATCTCGAAGAGGAGAAAATGGTTTCTAGTCTCGAGAGATGAGTGTGCCCTCAAAGTCTACACGATATCATGGGCGTGCAGTTCGGTGCACCCCGAAAAGTTTCCCTCCCGCCGATTCGCCCCTCCTGGGACCCAGTTGAACCGAGGTGGGCTTTAGCAGAGGCCCCGGGCGATCTCAGGCTGCAGAGGACGCTGGGCCTCCCTGTTAGGCTAAACCCGCGGCCTGCGCTAGTGCAGGCCGCCAGCTGGCCCGAAGCGGACTTGAGTTACATTTTTGTTTGTTCACACATTTGTTCAGATCCTTCAGACCACGGTTTGCGGCGTCTTTCTGGTCTTCAGGAGATTTTGGTCTCTAAACCCTGGCTTGCTTATCTCAATCCCAGCCCAGGCCCCGGCCCCTGCTGAGTCATTCTTATGACCTGCGGGGGGTGGGGAGTGGGGGTCAGGGCGAACCCACCCCAAGTTGTCCAAGCTGGTAGAGCTGCTCTAAGCTACGCCGGGCTGGCCTGAGCCTCGCTTTGCCCGGGAACTTGGTAGCCCCGAGGAGCGCATTGGGGCGAGGAGAAAGCGGGCTGCGAGGCCAAAAGGGCCAGGAGCAGAGGGGGCGCGGGGTCGAGGGACGCGGTCGAGGGGCTCCGTGCAAAGGGGACCTCAGTTTCCATCTAGACACTCGGACAGAGGCTCTCCCTGCAAAAGCACCTCCCAGAAAAGTTGCTGCGTTAGTATTTTCCAAGTGTCTTCACGCAAGTGACCGTGGTGCTTCTCGAACGAAATCGTGCGGTTACCGCCGCGATGTCCACTTTTCTAATCGGGACACAAACCCAGATGTCATCAGAGCCACTCGCGTTACTTTATGTAGGAATTTACCATACGGTGTCTCCGTTTTTGTACGCCATACCATTCGTGTTAAAGCTCTCTTTGCCTTCCCATAGGGCCCTGGAATGTTAGAGACCAAGCTGGGGAGGGGAGGAGCTGGAGAGGGAAGCAAGTTGGAAGGGTGTTTAAACAAGACAGCCCACACTGGTTAACAACGTTTTTCTAAAAGGAGCCAGATCGGAAACATTTCAGACTTTGGGGGCAGCTGCTCAGAGAAAGCAGCCCCAGAAAATATGGGTGAGCCTGCCTAGTCCCAGTAAAACTTTATAGACACTGAAGGCTGAACTTCGTATAGCTTAAACGAGTCACCAAACATTCTTTTGAATTTTTTCCACCACTTGAAAGTGGGAAAAAATCAATCTTGGCTCATAGGTCATACAAAAGCAGGTAGAGGGGTAGATTTCGCTGGAGAACTGTAGTTTGCCCACCTTGCTCCGGACTAATGGGAACCTCCTCACGTGCGCAGCAATAGAAGGTTTGGCAGACTCTATCCAGTCTTGCTTGAATATGTTTTACTTATTTCCAATAGGTAGGTCTGATTTCCAAAATCTGTGAAATGTTGAAAGGATTGAAAGAAATCTTCCCAGACGATATGGCTTTAAAAAATCTTTGTCCACCTCACTGAGGGTAAGAGAAGGGAGGATGGAGCAGAGATTTGGGAGTTTCTGAAAATAATCAGGCACTATCATATAGTTAATCTGAAAGTATCATAGACAGCATATTTTATTAGCTTTGGGATTTTTGTTTTCGTTGTTGCTAAATTTAATCTGTACATTCTTTTTTGGGTCTCTTTTGGGTCATTTTTTTCAATATAAAAAAAGTAACACCAATGTTCTCTTTTGAATTGCTTAACTTTCCCTCCTACTTCTTAGCTCAGATCTTCAGCTTTTGCCTTTCCCTCCTACTTCTTAGCTCAGATCTTCAGCTTTTCTCCTGTTTTTCTCAGTGTCTTTTTGTCTCCTTTGTACTCAGCTCATTCTACTAATCAAATAAGGCATCAACATAGTCACACACAGGGTGTGCGCTGTCAACTGAGAGAAACCCTGTTTAGGCATCTTTCCCTGCTTACCTCACGTTGCTATAATATTAACCGCCATTTTCTCCATACTGGTATTTTACAGACTAGTACAGTACACTTTTATGTAAACCAAAACAAGTCACGACAAAACAGTGCTGACCTTTAATATGCACTCTGGTATTTTCTTTTTTTCAACGTTCAGATTAACCTCTACATTGATTTTGTGATCACACTTAGTCACAACTCAAAGTTTGAAAAACAAGGGTACACTAGGATATTTTTGAAACCTCTAGCCAGCCCCTGCCAACCCTTTATAAAATAGCAACACAGGTAATCACTTTCTGCCTATATTTTCTTTTTCCTCAAAGCACTTCTCACCACCCGACACGTTTATTCATAGGCTTTTCCCTCTATGAACTGATATCAGGATCATTTGTTGTATCTTCAGCGCTTGGGCCAGTATTTACCAGATGAGGAAATTCAGGCAAAGAGTAGTGAAGTTTCTTGCCCCAGTCAGATAACTAGTGTGTTGGAGTTGGAATTTTAAATCAGTTGGTCTTCTATGAAGACAGCAAAAGTGATTCTGTGTGATAGAGAGAACTTTACCAAAAGGAATAAGAGATGGAACGAATCCCCGAAGTGGCTGCCTGGTGATTCTGTGTTCCATTAGCAATGCTGTCTCACTAGTTTTTGGTAAAAGTCATAGCCATTCAACAAAAGTTTTGGAGCTCTAGACGGTTTGACTCAGTGGATAGAGCTTCGGCCCATGGACTGAGGAGTCCCAAGTTCAATTCCCGTCATGGGTACCTTGGATGCCGGCTCAATCCCTGGCCTTGCCCTGGTAACCAAGGCAACAAATGAATGTGAGAGACACATCCATGTTTCTCTCTGTGTCTTCCTTTCCCTTCTACTCTTTCTAAAAATCAATGTGAAGATATTCTCAGATGAGGATTAACAACAACAACAAAATGCTTTTGAACACCTACTGTGTGCCAAGCTGTGTTCTGGGAACTGGAAATACCTGGAACGAACAAAACATAGAGAATGCCTGCTCTTTAATACATCCCTTTCTTGTCTGTTTCTCTTATTACAAAGCAAAGCTCATTACAGAAAATCTGAAATTTAAACAAGCGAAAAAGGAGCATAAGGAATAACAATTTTGCCCTAGCCAGTTTGGCTCAGTGGATAGAGCATGGGCCTGCAGACCCAAGGGTTCTGGGTTTGATTCTGATCAAGGGCACATATCTCAGTTGCAGGCTCTTCCCTAGCTTGGGACCTGGTCAGGGCGCCTGCAGGAGACAACCAATCGATGTGTTTCTCTCATATCAATGTTTCTGTCTCTTCCTCACTCTTTCACTTTCTCTAAGATCAATGCAAAAATATCCTCGGGTGAGGATGAAAAAGAATACCAATTTTGCCTGGCTGGTGTGGCTCAACCTATGAGCCAGGAGATCACTATTGGATTCCCACTGCAGGTTTTGAGACTCCCAGGCATGTAGGAGGCAGCCAATCGGTGACTCTCAGCATTGATGTTTCTGTCTGTCTCTCTCTCCCTCTTCCTTCCTCTCTCTGAAATCAATAAGAACACATTAAAAATACCAATTTTGCCCTAACCGGTTTGGCTCAGTGGATAGAGCATTGGCCTGCAGACTCAAGGGTCCCAGGTTCGATTCTGGCCAAGGGCATGTACCTTGGTTGCAGGCACATCCCCAGTAGGAGGTATGCAGGAGGCAGCTGATGGATGTTTCTCTCTCATCGATGTTTCTAAATATCTCTCTCCATCTCTGTAAAATAAATAAATAAATAAATATATATGTATATATTTTTAAAATTACCAATTTTTTTCTTCTATATTATTTTCATCCAAAACATTAGGAGCGGAAGAAAATAAACAAAAATATTAGTAGCCACTGTATCTTGGTTGCTGGTATTGTGGATGATGATTCTTTATTCTTCATATATTGCTCTATTTAAAAATTTTCTCCATGGGCAGGCATTACTCATAAACAGGAAAAAAACGCCCCACACATTTTAGAAAAATATAGAGAGAGCAATGGTAGAAGAGTAGTGCAGACAAATGAAAAGTTACCTTAGTGTGATAGGATTCTAAGTAATTTCTTTAAAAATATTGTTTAATGCAATTATAGAAGAGTGAGCTGAAGGGAAATTATTATAAAATAGGTAACACTGTGCTTGTTTGAACTTGTACTTTGTTTTCATTTACTATTGTGACATTTTATTAGGTAAAGTGAAGTAATTGTTTTATACTTAATAAATTATTAATTTTTAAACCTTTGTGGGGTGTCCCTCTGGATTTCTGAAAGGCCAACGTACCCCATTGTGCTAGCTATTAATGTTAAGCAACTTCAGCTACTCCTTGGTGACAGTGAAAAAAGGAAATGACCTAGACCAGAATC